CAGAAGAATGGTGTGCCATCACTCCTGTCTCAGCTAAGCCTTCCTGAAGTCCTTTGATGGGGTTTTGCTTTATCTCTTTGACCAGCATAGATGTAGTTCTATCTCAAGTGTTTTACTGGTCTTCCAGATCTTGCCTTGATTTCCACAATTCTCCTTGACTGCAATTTCTTAATGACATTTGGACAGTGGAAATTGTGAGGTGGAAGCACTTTGATATCTTTTATAGCCTTCACCTGCTTTGTAGATGCCATTTAGCTTGTTTTCAAATCTTCAGCCAGCTGTTTAAGGAGCGAGTGGTTGTTGAGTGTTTGCACAGAGTTTGAAGAGTCAAAAAATTTATTACACTCTGGAATTATCGTCAGCTGACAGTTCTCAATGACAATTCTTGACCTGCCTAACCAGTCTTTACAAGTTAGTTAAGGCCTAACAGGTTAATTACGCACTGAGACTTTACAATTGGAAGGGTGTCCAAACTTTTGCACATCATGCCACAATTTTCTATTTTTTAGGTTAATCAGATGTTTTTGCAGAAAGAAAAATAAAATAGTTTGCTGCAAATGTTGTGTTCAATCAAAAATAAACAAAATATGTAATTTGGCCAGAGATTTCCAAACTGTAAATGTGTATATTATTATTATTATTATTATTATTATTATTATTATATTATTATTATATAATTAAATTTAAATAATGTGCATAATCATATGCATTATGGTATACGATAGCTCTCTACAATATATGTTAAATATTAGAAACTGCTGGTCACTGTGGCACATATTCTCCTGTATATTAAAAGTGACAAAAATCCATATGTTGTATAATATATTGATATTATTTTGTAAATGTATGTCCGCTGTCATAGTACATTTTACAGTGCCTTAATATTACATTTTGAATGTTACCTTGAATGTTATTGGTGTGCTTTTCTGTTTCAATTATGACCACAACGGATTAAATAGTACTGTAAAACATAAAAAAGCTTAATAGAAATAAAATATTGGATACTGGTCAGTATGGTCATATATTGCCTTTGTATCAACACAAATTCTCAATCATTACAACAGACATGTTTAACCCTGAAAATATGATACAACAAGCTAAAAACCAGAATAGAAAGGTTAATATCCATTTTAATGTCACATTGCAAATGATACCATGCTCTTAAAATACTGAACACTGTTCCTTTTGTATACTTGTACATTCAAAACACAGGATCTGTAAAAGCTTGTGAAAATGGTAGATCAGAAGCAGAAGAAATATGAGCATGAAAGTGCACCTATACTTCACAACGCAGACCTACGACAGTTAGTGAGCAAGCCTAGCTGTCTCTATTAGTTGTGCATTTTAGCGAAAGACAATTGAAGTCTTGATGACCCATTTCAAATCATAATATCTATTAGGTTTTCTCTCCTTGGAAACAACCACCATCTGTCAGGTGCATTTAGGTGGTCATCCTTAACTCAGGAGGATGTTAAATATTGTATATATATGCTTATTTCATAACATTTTTTAGAAAGCATCTTTGCACCATTTGAGTTCTCAAGAACTGTACGTCTGATGTAATCTAAAATGGGGCAGATGTGCTCAGCATGTTTACAACAAAGAAGTTGAAAACCTACTGCATACGGTATCCTACTACACACACTTTTATAAAGCCAAGTGGTTCTCAGATTTGGCGCCGCAGCCCCATAGGGTTGGAAAGGATACTAAATATCAAATCAGAGAGCACCATCTTAATCATTCGGTAAGGCACTATGTCAGAGAGTTATTTATGATCTGACTGCAGAACAGCATAGACTGTGTACAAGCACTGTAATGCTTGTATGTAGGACTGCACAATATTTTGTTTCCGTTTTATAGTCACACAGTATTGGCCTTTGCTGTAGTTGCATCACATATGGCTACAATATGAAAATGAGATACTGAGTAAAACTGCTAAAATTGATCACTGTGTTGTGCTACACTCCTAACCTATTATTTCTGATGGGTGGCTGGACCACTCATAGCTTCTCTGTAATGATACAAACATGTTTTTTGAGAAAATAATGCAAGCCAATGTTCGGTTAAGTCATTAAGCAGGGGAGAGCAGGGTACAAAGTAACATGGGGTAAAATGTAACACTGATTTGTTTGGTCATGTTCTTGTATTCTGTAGCATTGTTATATGCAAATTTTAACAGTAGACAGACATTTCTTAAGAATCATCCAGACCATGTTTTTGTACTACAAAATTAACTTTTTTCCATTGTAAGTGCTTTTTTTATTTGTTGATGCGTGTAAGTCACAGAATTCACACTATTATTATTTTAATCATCACTTTCTTCATGGCTGTAATATAGCACTGATTTGAGACCTGTAAACAACTCACAGTAAGAGCTAGCCAGGCTAAAGTACACCAGGCTCAAAGACACCAATGAGAGAAATCCAGACTTACAACTGAATATAACATAATGTTTCTTAGTATTTACTGTGTCCATCTTTTGCCTTTATTTCAGCATCTTTTCATGAGACTCGCTTTCAGTTTTCCAAAGAAATCTACTGGGATATTTTTCCACACCTCCAAAGTTCAGTCTTAGAAGTTGGTTTCATTTTCTGTTTCTCACAATCCAAGCAATCTCAAACACATTTAGTGATGTTGAGCTCTGGACTCTGTGGAGAAGGCCAGCAACTTCTTTTATTTGATTTGCAAGTTTTTTCTTTTTGGTCTTTCTTTTTCTCATCTCCGATATCAAGCTCGACTCTTGGTCTAGTGCAAGTGTGGAGCTTGATATTCTTCTATTTCTCAAAAACTGAAAGCTTCAAGTACTTTCTGATGGTTCAAGTACAGTTTTGTGGTCTAACTTGTCTGGCATGGTTGGTAGGAGTCCTATTTTTATTTACTCCAGTTTTGGAAACTCCAGTTTTTATTCGTATTTTACTTTGACTTCACTCTTCCTTATTCAAGTGCTTTATCTTATATCTTATCACCTCACAAATACACTATACGGACAAAAGAATTAGGACATCTTATTATGCACATTACACCTACAGGAGCTTTTATGACATCCCATTCTAAATCCATAGGCATTAATATGGAGTTGGTCCCCCTCTGCAGGTATAACAGCTTCCACTCTTCTGGGAAGCTTTCTATGAGATTTTGGAGTGTGTCTGGAGGAATTTTTGCCCTTTCATTCAAAAGAGTATTTGTGAGGTCAGACACTGATGTTGGATGAGAGGGCCTGGCTCACTATCTCCTTTCTAGTTCATCCCAAAAGTGTTCAGTGGGGTTGAGGTCAGGGCTCTGTGTGTGCCGGTCAAGTTCTTTCACATCAGACTCACCCAGCCATGTCTTTATGAACCTTGCTTTGTGCACTGGGGCACAGTCATGCTAGAACAGTAATGAGCCTTCCCCAAACTGTTCCCACAAAGTTGGGAGCATATGGTTGTGCAAAATGTCTTGGTATGCTGAATCTTTAAGACTTCCCTTCACTGGAACTAAGGGGCCTAGGCCAACCCCTGAAAAACAGCCCCATAGCATTATCCCTCCCCTACCAAACTTTACAGCTGGCACAATGCAGACAGGCAGGTAATGTTCTCAGACCCATCAATCAGACTGTCGGATAGAGAAGCGTGATTCATCACTCCACAGAATACGTTTCCACTGCTCCAGAGTCCAGTGGTGGCATGCTTCACTTGGCATTGTGCTTGGTGATGTAAGGTTTGCATGCAGCTGCTTGGCCATGGAAACCCATGCCATGAAGCTCCCAGTGCAGTTTTTGTGCTGATGTTGATACCAGAGGAGATTTGGAACTCTGCAGTTATTGACTTAGCAGAGCGTTGGCAACTTTTATGCACTATGCGCCTCAGCACTCGGCGACCCCGCTCTGTAACTTTACATGGTCTGACACTTTTCAATAATACCACTCTAATGCCACAATTGATCGTGGAATATCTAGGAGGGAAGAATTCCATTGCAACAGTGGCATCCTATTACAGTCCTCTGCTCAAATTCACTGAGCTCTTTAGAACGACCCATTCTTTCACAAAAGTATGTAAAGGCAGGCTGCCTGGCTAGATGCTTTATTTTATACACCTGTGGCAATGGGACTGAATGAAACACCTGAATTTAATGTTTAAGAGGTGTGTCCCAATACTTTTGTCCATATAGTGTATCTCCTGAAAAATGAATAATTGTACTTAATGGCCTTGTTGATTGGAAATTAAATAATTGAAGGGTGGTCTCTGACTTTTGCACAGTACTGTATATTTGTATCTTCCTGTTTCAAACAACTTTAAACAGTACTGAATGCATGGTGTTTGCATCAATTTACCAGGCTTTTCTAGTGACTTGCCCCTCAGTTTATTACAATTAACCCCATCTATGGGGTCAGTTCTAACACTGGATCTTATGCCACTTCGAGCTGCAATGTTCACAAATGGTAGGTAATTGAAATAAAGTTTACATTGTCATTTGTAGTAGAGATGTGTACGTTCCCTGTGTAAAAAAAATAATCATGCTGAAATGTTTTTTTTAATTATTTAGCCAAAACCAAAATTTGTTGTGTCTTGCTCTCCCCATATTCACTCACTGTACTGTAATTGTAAAAAGTAGCAATATTATTGCATTATATTTTGTCCATAACTTGCAGCCCTACTTGAATATACTGTAAATACCCTTTTCTTAGCATTTCCAGTAGAGTCATTATGGCAGGTGAATGTTTTAAAATATGAAGAATAGCACCAAAGAGAGAGAACTACACATTCTAACACATCAAGTTTGCCCGTAGTTCATTCAAAGATGTGGAGGAGAGCTGACTGTAACTTTATAGTCCCATGGAATCAACATTTAAAACCTGGAATGATAAAAAACAGCTTCCATGCATGTTTGTATCAAGTCTTCTGTAACACCCATAGTAACCTCCCATCATATGCTGGGATTCATTCGACACTGATGCTGCTTACATTGCATTCTATGCCAATTCTACAAATAATAATAAAAAAAATCACAAACACACACATACATACACTCAAAGTATATTGGTAGCTTGTTTAAGGGGTTAAAAACACTGACTCTTCAGGGTCCTTTTGGACCTCGGCTCTTGGCGTAGGTATTGCGGTGGGTGTTCGGGATTCAGGGCTGGTTTAGTTTTGGGGTACCGGTGGGGGCTCCACCTCTAGGGTATCAAGGTACTGGCTGCAGTTGGGGTCCCCTCTCACCAGCGGGGAGGTGGGGATAGGTCTGCCTGTGTGAGGGTTCACACACCAGCACTCACCTCGGTGTCCGTTCACTGACATCTTGCACTGAAACACAGTAGACAATCCACAATGGCAACAATCAGTTAATGCGTTTAACTTGAATTCGGTTCATTTCAGGCAGTGAATCAACAATAACAACAATAAGACAGAATATCTGAAAACACTGTAGCTGTTAACATAAGCTTTCCTAAATGTTTATGCATGTTATGGGTGTATTCTTCAATGTTTTACGACTTTGATTGTGCATATGCCCAGCGCAAATGCAGAGAAGAGCCAAGCAAAGCACCTAAACCTGCTAATATGAAACTGACAGAAAGTAAATAAAGAATTCTTTTGCTGAAGAAGACAGTGTTTCAACCTAGACCTAAATAGATCTGACTCAGTTGACTCAGATTTTACATTTTATTCATGAAAAATGTTTAGAGGTAGCTGTTTTTGGACTATTTCAACTGATTAGTTTTTGGGTTTTGACAAATTTAGTCAGTGATAATTTTAATCATCAGAACTGGTTCTGTTTTGTGTCAAAGCCAGGAAGAGTGACAGTATTTTTAAAATGATGTTTACTGTGATTGGCTACTTTTTCTAATCTAAATAAAGTACTGAAAGGGCTACTATGTTTTCTTGTGTCCTTTAAAGTTGGTACAAATATGTATGGGTTTTACACAGGGTATTAATTGTGAGAGAGGTCTTGGGAGCCCCAGTGAAAAAGTCTGTATGAGGTGACCTATGTACTAATAAATGTTTTTACAGCATATTTTGTGAAGTTTACACTTCTAGTTTCATAAGTATTACTAGGCAGGAGTCTTTCAAATGGCCAAGATTAAACCAGCGGGTACAAAATTTTACTATACACTTCTATAACCTAAGAATAACTCAGCCAGTTTGCACTGTAGTCCATGTAGTTACTGAATAGTAAGCCTTGGTTTGTAATAAGCCTGAGATTTTAAGGGGTTCATTTCATATCTGCATCAGGATAAATCATCTTTACACTTGAGGCCACCACCACACACAAATGGGTAAAATTCTGGTCCTATGCTGTTTGTTGTGCAATAAAAGCCCATGCAGACTAATGTGAATGTTACCATTGCATGTTCTCCAACAGCCTAAAATGAAAACAAATTGCTACATGTTTGGTACTTATGGCTGCAATTGCATTTATTTTTTCTGTGTTTTCATGGCTTTTCTTAACTTAAAGACTAAGTTATCTAAAGTATCTCAGCAGTTTAAGATGCGCTTGTGCTTTATGATTCTTCAGTTTTAAACCAGAGCATTATGGCTCTATGCACATCACTGTACAGTTACAAATTTAGGCTGGGCAAGTTTACAGTTTATCCAGGAGAAGGAGTCTAATGTTGAATGTAATGAAAAAATAGAAAAGAAAACAGTCCCCCAGCCCCCCTCTCAAACACCCTCCAATTTAAGCCCTGGTTTTACAGAGTAATGTAAAGTCATGAACAGTGAAAAGTAAAATGTAATCCCACTATAGTTTCAGAGAAGTAATTATTATTGATTTGTAATGCAATACTTTTTTGAGTGACTACCCCATTATGCCTGAAAGGTGCAGCCTCAAAGAGAAAAGTACCTGTTTTGGGTTGTACTGCCCCTTCTTGTCACAGTTAGGTATGTGCAGAGAGTAGAGGTCCTCTAGAGGGCCACGATTATCTCTGAAGGGCATTTTGGTGATCCTCTCCAGCACCTGGTCCAGCTCCTGCTGACACTGACTCTAAAACACAAAAAAGAAATGAGTGTAGTCATACTTTTTCACAAGGGATGGCCTGGCATTTAATGCAAGCTTTTATGTTCATCAAGAGGAATAAACTAATGTATTTCTACTTTGATGCAGTTTGAAGATGTCAGGAGCAGTTAGCTTAGCATAGCATGAGAAAGAGGCCTACAGGTACAATCAGCTAGTTCCTCTTAAAAGGTGGGGGGTTGTTTTGAATTGCTGTCCTTGCAGTCTTGTCAAGAACCTCAAATTACATGGAGGAGAATGATGATCAAGCTATCACACGACCATGTAGACAGAAGTGGGGAAGATCCAAAATTTAGCAAAGGCTCTATCCCTCCCATTCAAAACATGGCACAATCAATGCATCACTGTGAATGGATGAGCATCTACTTCCACTTACACTGTATGGCCAAAAGTATGTGGACACCTGACCACCACACCTATATGAGCTTGTTGGATATCCTATTCCAAACCATGGGCATTAAAATGGATTTGACCCCTCCTTCCCCCTTTGCAGTTGTAACAGCCTCCACTCTTCTGGGAAGGCTTTCCACAAGCTTTTGGAGTGTGTCTGTGAGAATTTGTGCCTATTCAGCATTTTGGACTGATGTTGTACTGATGCTTCCTTCACACCAAACTCATCAACTAATGTTTTTATGGACTTCACTTTGTGCACAGGGGCTCAGTCATGCTGGAACAAGAAAGGTCTTCCCTAAACTGCTAACACAAAGTTGGAAGCATAGAATTGTCTAACATGTCTTTGTATGCTGTAGCATTAACATTACCCTTCACTGAAACTAAGGGGCCTAGACCAATCCCTGAAGAATTGTTCCACATCATTATCCTTCCTTCACCAGACTTTACTGATGGCACTATGCATTCCTGTAAGTAGAGCTCTCCTGGTAGCCGCCAAATCCAGATTCATCCATCACATTGCCAGAGTGAAACATGACTCATGTGTCTATTGGCTGGCATGCTTTACTCCAGCCAACTCTTGGCATTGCACATACTGATCTTAGGCTTCTGTGCAGCTGCTTGGTCATGGAAACCTATTTCATGAATCTTTTGACGCATAGTTCTTGTGTTGATGTTGCTTCTAGAGGCAGTTTGGAACTCTGTAGTGAGTGAGGGGCATTTTTTTTAAGTGTCATATGGTATCTCTGTGAGTTTTGCATGGTTGCTAAGCAGTTGCCCCTAGATGTTTCCATTTCCACCAGGGCAGCTCTAGCAGGGCAGTAATTTCACAATCTGACTTATGGCAAAGCTGGCATCCTATGACAGTGCTGTGTTTAAAGTCACTTACATCTTCAGCATGGTCGATTCTACTGCCAGTGTTTGTCATGGAGATCACATGGCTATATGCTTTATTTTCTACACCTGTTAGCAATGAGTATGGCTAAAACACCTGAATTCAATAATTAGGAGAGTCCATATACTTTTGTCCATGTAATGTATCTCTCAGAGAAATTTCATTTGGTTTGTCATTTCCTACTTTCTCAAGGAATATGTGATCCAGCACAGAATGCTAAAGATGCCAATATTGTTTTATGCTGAGTTAATGCAGGAGAAAATGACAGGCACCCAAGAGCTTACTACTGATCTTTGGAATATCCCACCACAATCTCCCAAAACAAGCCTCTACCATAAGAGAAATGGAAAAGGCCTATGGTGCTTGTTGTGAATGCAGTGATTTAGTGAACATTAAAATGAAGTGTCTCATCTCTTCATTAAATCAAATCTCTTTATTACGGACCACAGCTGAGGTACCAAGTCTGCAACCTGGGTGTGTGTATGTGTGTGGAGTGATTCAAAGAGTTGGACATGTCCTTGCCTGCAGATATCAACAGCCTCTCTCAAAGGGGAATTCCACTGATATTTTCAAATTTTCTGCATAATTTAATCACTGAGATCTAAACAAAGTCATTCTGAGTGCTTCCATGCAAAATGGTTCCTTGTTTAGAAATTTACAGACTCACGTTTCTTTATAATGGTAGTGATAGAAACCGGGAATGCAAGATCCCCCTTGCAAATTTAGCCATTACATTTTTTACTAGTGAACCTGCATGTCTTTTGAGTTTTTATATGTAATGCGGACAAGTTGGTATTGTGATTAGCAAGTCAAAAAAAAAGAGATTCCTTTGAGTGCTGTCCTAAAACACTCTGCATGTACCTCTCTGCCATGAATGGATTTAAAAAAATACATTTTAGGCCTCAAAGCTATCAAAAACAATGTCTCATATTATTCATAACCATTTCATACAATTGTATGCAAAAGTTTAAGCACCTCTGGTCAAATTACAGTCTACAGGCTTAAATATGACATTGTTCTGCAAATTTCACTGCACATCTTTTATTTATTTACTATTTATTAACATATGTGACAAAAAAACATAAAATGTAAAATGTTTTGCACAGGTCATATTTTATGTTTAATTTTTCCATGACATAATAAATTCAGCAAATGCACAATACTTGTGCATTAAAAGGTGCAAAGTGTGTTTTCTGTAGAGGATGTGTTAACTTAGAAAATAAGGGGTGTCCAAACTTTTGCTGTATAAATAAGGTTGCTTTTAGAGGCATTACGTGCTTCAGATGTCTGGTTTGTATCATTACATAGAAAACAGTTCTGTCTTGAAAAATTTCTCTGGAATGCAGCATTTCACATCAAACCACTCTGAATGCCTTTGTTAACATCCTAACGGTTTCATTATGCAGAATTTTGGAAAAATTCCCTGTTAATGGCTTGTTCTAATGGATCTAAACTCTTGGGCCAGCAAACGCAACCATACAGGGCAACTAACATTAAACACTATATCACATTCAGGGCATTCATCCAAGCTCATAAAACCAGGACACTTAGCACGGTCAGTGACAGCTTTATATTAAGATGATATTTATCAAGGTAACCTTCTGTTAAACAGAGGTGAAACATATTTGAATCTTATTTTTTCAATGATTTTAGTGAATACTGCACAAAAGCATATAGATCCTACATTTTACATAATAAAACTGCTGTGCAGATGTGGCCACTAGAGGTCAGTGTTGTATAAGGGTTTAAATGCCACCCAACAGAGAATGTGCTAGGCCACTAAAATTAAAGCCTTTGAAACAAAATGCACTCATTTTACCGTGCTATGCTACACCTACAAACAATCAATTTATTATGACTAATATTGTGAATAAACCACTAAGGACAATTCATTATAGTTATAGAGTACAGATTTGTTTCTGTTGCTCAAAATAACCAGATGTTGCCTCTCAGCTTCTCAATGAATCCCCTCCACAAACTTTATGAATTGTGTTTTGGATGTTTGTCATCTCTTACCGGCTTGGCACGCGGCACTTTAGGCTCGTCCCCTTTGTACTTCATCTTGGTTTTTAGCTGCTGGCGGTGATGAATGACAGCGCTCTCCTTAGGCCCGATCCAGTGGCTGTCCTTTGTGGGCTTCCTTATCGGAGGCACCTCAGTCTGGCCCACTTCCACAGGCTCCACCACCTCACCTGTACCTCGGAGAGCCCAAAGGAGCACTTTTAGAGGCCAGAAAGTGACTCAAGAGATGACGACTCTCAACAGAAAGCAAACAAAGGCCTACAAAATGAAACACTTTTGTCAAAGCCCCTGTTTGCAAGCCATCCAAGAAGACGTCAGAATCTTGGCTTAGGTCTGCTGCTTTCATTAAACAGACACGTGCGTACGGCTCTGTCCCTGTCAGTGTCTGTTTAATGGAAGCCCCAGACCTAGGCCAAGATTCTGACATCTTCTCCAAGATCCCCCCTCTGCCTCAGTGCAGCAAAACCGCTCAAACAAACAGAACGGCCGGCTGGAGCTGCTGACCCATCATGAACGTCATGGAGGAAAAAACAGGACCGGCCACAGCAGGCGCAAAGTTGGCGGGCACAAGGTTTTTTTTCTGCGTTACACAAGAGCAGAACGGGGGGGAGGGGGAGAAAAATGGGGGCAAGGGGTGAAAGTTTGCTCCATGCACCCACAGAGAGAAACTCCGATCTAACACATGCATACCACTGCGGCACAAACACTTTCCTCCCATTCTCCTGCGAGATGGAGAGCTACCCATGTGCTGAGAGATTTACCGGCAGTGAAAACACGCAGGGGAAGGATGCTGGGGTCAGATAGGGACTCATGGGCTTTGTTTTAAAGGGAAGCAGGTAAGAGGGGAAAGAGCTATTATTGTAAAAGCTAAACAGGACCTCGGCTATGCATTTAGTACTCATTCACCTACATCAGCGCACTGCCACCAAACCACTCGGCGGGGGAATGCAGAGAATTTAGGGAATTGTGTGTCTCCTGTGAAACGTGAGAGCCGTCTGATTTATCCACACTGTGAAAGTTGGCATCTTCTGCATCCATTTTTTGGCCTGCATTACACAGAGAGAGGATGTGGCCTTTAATCATTTATGAATCTGCAGCTGCTCGTAGATGGGGTTTGAGACTATCTCTCCCAGTAGAATATCTCTGTCCTTCTGACTGCCTTTTCTTTTTAAACGCTTCTCAGAGCTTCATTGTTTTTTTTTTTTTCAAACTACTCCTTTGAATTCCAAAATCATGTTTTCATCAGCAGTTATTGCTTTTCATTTGCATCACAGTAAATTGCTCTGATATTTGCAAATCTTTCATGAGTCATCATTGCCAGTCATTCAATAATCATTAGGTTACAATCCTGGTATTTGTTATTGTGAGAACAGGAGTAAATAATGCATCTCTGCTTCGCTTCTGTCTTTCTAGCATTTTGCTTTAACTGCGGCAAACAGAGCATTCCAAGATGGAGGATTTCAGCAAGAGGTATGATTGAAAAGAAAGACAGTGAGGGAGGCTGTGAAACAAAAATTCAATTGCACCAAACACTGTCTACAATAGCTGACCAAAGGCTACAGGCCAGGACATCTATAAAAGCATTTTGTTTAATATTATGTAGCAATACAGACCTGTGCACAGTTTAACTGGAACCAACAGAAAGGGGCTGGTATGAATAAACTTGAACTGAGTGTTCTAGATTTCAAGGTAAATCCTTGCTCTTGATCCTAATAATATAGTAAAGATCTAACTGATAACGTTCAAAAATCAATAGAACTGCACAAGGGATAAGGAAGAAAAAAAACAAAAAACACATGTTCATTCTTCCATAGTTTTACATTAACACTAAATTACATGCAACAGCACATTGAACTCGAACATAAGACTCAGACTAAAATGTTTCTGACGTATTCCAAATGTCTGAGACTGCTTGGATGTCATACCAGTAGGAAGAAAAGGGGAAGTTAGTTTTTTTGGCCAAATCATGTACTGTTTAAACAAGACACAGACTCCAGTGGTAGCACAGCACCTCTTCATGTTCCCACAATCTTGGTACAACGTTCTAATCAGAACTCCCAGCAAACTGTGCATGATAGGCTTTGAATAATGACTGTTTTTACACAGGAAAACAGCTAATCTTTTAACCACTGTTTCTCTGACTGGCCTAGCTTGCGCTTGCCTTTGAAATACAGCCCTGAAACAGTGCATGTAATGCATTGACATTTTTCTCATGCACAATCACCATAAACCGATCTAGGAACTGATCCCAAGCTTAGCAATGTGCTGTAGGTAAGTATGAACCATAAAAAGCTGCTCTCTGTTTGATCACGCATTTCTGAACACTTGAGCCCTCAGAGATTTCTATGGTCTGGCCTCCTTAAAGTGGCATCGGGGTGGGGTGTGCTCTTTGAAGTCAGCATCCCAGCAGGTCCTACAGAAGTCAAATGAAATCAGGTGTGCGCAAGAGACGGGTCACAGAGCTTTTTGTTTTGCCTCTATTACATAATCTCTTTTCCACTCCAGAGGTGGCGCATTCCTGCCTCCCCAGAGAGAAACCTGAGACAGAGGGTGTCTCAGTACAAAAGACGGAGACCAGCGAAAGGGGGCAAAGGGCCACCAGGTCTGCACACTGTGTGTGCCCTTTCAAATACTGGAGAACACCTTTGTGTCTGGTTGACTCTGCAGTATCAGAACACTGACATACCATTTGTTTTTAACATGAAATGTTATTAGCATTTTTTTTGCCATCCTGGATAGTTGTGTAATCTGTTGTCGCTGGATTTTTTCCCACTCCATTGCTTACCTTTTTAACCGCAGAAACATGGTTTACCATCGTACATAGAAACCACATCATATTGTTCTAATTATCACAATGCAGCCTGTGTATTCCAGTTTCTCACAGCAAATTTCTGATCTAAGATCAGCTTTCCATATAAAAATGATGAGGGGAGTGTAATCCTAGGCCATTGCTCTTATGCTGAGATGCTACAGGCCTTGGAGAGTAGTTGAACACTGATATTGTGTTCTAAAATGCTTCAGCCAGGCTCCTGTCACATATCAGGTACAGATGACTCTCTGATATTAGCAACTCCACATTTAAATTCATCAAAAAAGAACAGTCCGACTGGCCTTGTCTTTTAGTTTTTTGCTCAGATGTGCTTTGTCATGAGCTAACTTTACATGTGTAAGTGTTTTTAAGCCACTTTCCAACTTGTCCTTTGACAATTACGTAGGCTGTCAACTTTTGACACTTTGGTAATGCTGTTCATGACCTAAAGAAAGATGTAGCACAATTGCTGCTTGGAGCAGTACAGCAGAGAATGATGTCCAAGGCTGTAATGCAGGGCCTCAGAACTGTAGAAAATGGTTACCTGTTTGAGAACCACAGGTGGTCCATCTTTTCATTACATCGATTTTTCCATTACCTCCACGTCCACTGAGAAGAAATAACACCACAAATGCCCTCATGAATTCTCTCTCTGCTCTGCAAAGAAAGACTTGGAGCCATGGGCTCTAACATGGGGCCATGCCCACAACCTTAATCACAACCAGCTTATCTGGCGCCATTCTGCGCAACCTCCTCTCTGGAACCCTGGCATAACCGGCATTGGCTTAATAGAGGACATAGTGAACAAAAGTTTCCTCTCTCTCTCTCGCTCTCTGTCTGAAATCAAAGTTCTAATCCCCGTCCTGTTGGCTGCAACCAAGCCGGCAGCGGAATCGAGCCTGAGATTTATTCTATTGACTCAGCACTGATTGAGTATTCAGGCAAGGATGATGTCTGTGCTTCATTCAGGAGAAGAGAACGCTAAAGATATTGTCTTTGGCAGTGGTGCATGCACTGCAGAGAACTAGCCTTCTGGGCTTGTTCTTACATGAAAGTTATGACACAAAAGGTCTTTCTATGGGAATTAAGAGCTTTGGTAGGACCAGTGAAGAAAAACGAATGAGGACCACAGGCAATCTGTGACATACTGCACTCTATATTATGCCACTGGGGTACTGGATCAGACAAGATGAGCTATTGATCATTTGTCAATGTTTATAAGTAGAGTCTATTGTACTTGAATGTAAACAGTGTTGTACAGTTCTGTATGTGTGCATATGAAGATGCCATTTCCAGGTAAATTAATGCGTTGCTGTTTCTGGTTCCATCCTTTTTCCTGAAAAATAAGTAAATGTGACTTAAAGGGACAGACCGGCCAAAACGAAAAGACTTTGACTACCTCCTTCTGATAATGTATCTTGAAGGTGGTAGGAATGTTTGAAAAACTACAACTGCTTGATTTATAAATCGGACAGTTTTGAAAAGTTTTTTCTCTCTCCACTCTGGCGAATGCAGGAGAAAGGCCGATAACTAATGTTACTGCTAGGAAGCCAAATATCTTATTGTAGCTGTATAACTAGTAATCATCTGCAAAACATAATTACAATTAAGAATATAGATTATTCAAACAAATGACTCAGATGAGGAGTACAACAAGCTAAAAGCTAAAGTTAGCAAGGCACTTGGCTATTTAGATACCTTGTTTCAGTTTGGCTTGTTTTCTCTGACTGAAAGGGTTAAAAACTTGTCTCTGGCATCTATTTTGTGCTGAATAAAGAAAGCATCATTATTTTTCTTATGATTCTATTTGACAAACAAGATAAGAGTTCAATTAAGGTTAGCTTGGTTGCATTTATTGGCCTATAGATAAGTGGCTAGGCTAGCAGTCAAGATTGGTTGACACCACAGGGATGCCCAGTGGTTGTGTTATGTACTTGTGTAACATATGCTTGTAGTGAGAGAACATTGATGAACGAAAACATGAAAATGATATAAAACGATAAAAATGTGTCAAACCAATGAGGCTGAGAACATGACAATTAACATATTAAAGTCCAGTTTAATAGAGAAAGCCTCTATAAAGCTTAAAAACTATAAGATTTTTTCTTAAAATTGAGATAGGTAGTAAATAATTTTTGTGTCTGGAAAAAAAATAACATTCAAATATGGTGTCCGTGCGCTGCAACGAGTCACCCTGTAAAGCCTTACTTAGTAATATAGAAATCACAGGTGTCAGGTCAGATTTCTCAAGAGTCTTTTGGACCATTTCACATGTCTAAAGACTAAGTAAAGTTATTATTATTAACATCACATGCACAGGTTCAGAAAGGAGGTCCGGCTCAATGTTAAGGTCTCAAATATAAAATCAACATTGTACTGATGAAGATATGATGAAAACAGTACATTATTCACTCACATCCTTGGAAGACATGTCCTTCACTAAGTTTTGAAGTTCTCTTTGAATACTCTTTCGCCCAAGCAATCATCAGATTCATCCGCTTTGGGAAGGGGTTCAAAGCACAGCCCATGTTACAAAATGTTCTCCACACATTATTTGCAATTACACATTTCCACCAGTGAGGTCTTCAAATCCCCTGAACTTACATAGTGTACCTCTAAGATTCTAATTCATTCTGACAGGTGCAGAAAAATATGATGATCGTTGCCTAACCTCTGCATAAGTCCAGACCAAAATACTCTTTAAATAAATGCCTATAAGGTAATGCTAAATTACCATTCTTCAGAGCCTTCGATGTCTTCACTGAGTTTCATTAGTTTTTTTAGTATGCTGATGATACAGGCTTGCTAGTGTTATGTGCTTTTAGGAGTTCAACAGTACATTAGATGTTATGTCAAGATTACAGTCCAGACTTCTAGAAAGCAGGATGAAGGCCTGCACCAAACACGCTTATTTCCTTTATTGGACGAACATGTGAACATCTTCACGTCTCAAGCCTGGCCCTGAAAATCCCCATGCGAGGGGATCACGCAAAAAAAGACCACCTCCGCAAATTCTGTTGAGCTCTTAAGACCATCGCCTACTAACCCCACCCCCCCCATGCTCTATGCTCCCACACTCCCTCCTCCTCCCCACCCCCAGCTTCACTCAGCTCAATAACATTTCTGACATTGTTTGTGTTATCTCCAAGCTGCTGGAGGGAGCTTGAGAGTTTATTCTGGAGCCCGACACGGTAAGATTCTTGGCATCCGTGTTGCCGAGCCGCCCTGGGGGGATGGCAGCCATACCCGCTCTTGCAGAAAGCAGGGGGATTATTTTGGTCTATTTCGGTCCGGCGGGCACCGTTTCCCTTTAGCCCTGTACGTATAGCTCATAAGCGGGCCATTTATTTTCAAGCCCTTCTGCCAGGTGAGGGGCTTTGTGAGGCCTAGGAGGTTTTCTTTTTTGGAACCAGTGCAAAAGAGGACAGCATCACCCTCAGTTTCCCTCTAGGTAAAGATGGGTGTAGAAACCTACATCAGCAGTTCTGTCCACATTTCCTGCTCTGGCGTACACAACAGGGCTCTGAACCAGTTTGAGGAACAAAAACAAAAACTGGAAATGAACAGTATTTTCTAAAAACAAAAAAATCCAATCGAGAATCATTCTTAATTGTTCTGAAACAGAAATGTTAATTTCAGATTAATTCTGATTAATGTAACTTAACGCTTAATAACATAGAATGTCTTACCTACATGTAATCAGCATGACATCAAACATGATTTCATTCACTGTACGTGCTAATCACACATTAATGTATGTGCTAATCCGCCTAAACTCTTAAACACTCCTTTCTACACTTTCTGTGAGCAATTCCATAGAAAACACACTTTTGGTTCCCTTAAGAACCATGTTTGAAAAAGAGATTTTTTAATGCAGTGAACCTTCACAGATAAATGCTCTCTATCAGTTTAAGAGTTTTTCCTAGAACTTTTATGTTATATGGAGGTTCTTTAAACTTTAAAAAGTTTCTACGCACTCCCATATCTCTCAAATGACTCACCCATTGAAAGGTTCTTTAGGGAACCAAAAGCCAGTACGTGGACATACCTTATCAATATAAACACAACGGCTGGTTCTAATAGCTTTCCAAACCTACTATTTCAATCAGATTTTGGATAAACAAGTCAACACAACTGTGTCCTCTTAGAAAAAAAAATAGGTACAGGTCTTCTATTATATCTTATGTGCAATGTGAATAGGAGAAATAAAATATAGAAAAAAAAAAAAAACAGCAACCAGAACAAGGCCAAGCATTGCGAAACTGGAGCAAATGACATTGTAATGTCATCGGTCACTCTGTCCTTATTTTTCACCACAGTGTGCTTCATAGCTCTGCTTTTTGGTCCAAAAATAGGTGTTTGTTGTTTTTTGTCAGGAACTCTTGCAGCTCAGTGATATAATAAAATAAAAATTCAAGTTACTGAACAGCGATCAAGTACACTCTTAAAAATAACGGTGCAAAAAAGGGTTCTTTGAAGGAATGTTATATAGAAGATAGAAGAACAAGTTATGGTTCCCTAAAGAACATTTCAGTGGATGGTTCTTTAAGTTCTTTAAGTGTGACCTTTTTAAAGTTTGAAAAACCTCCATATGCAACAATGGTTCAACAGCAATTAAACGTTTTTCATTGAATTATTCATTCTTCATTCTTATTTTTAAGAATGAACATGGCATCTGAGGAGAACTAGCTGCTTTCACAACCCTCTAGCTGTGTTTCATGGGTGGCAGGAACTTTAAATTTAAGGACTTAATTTGAAGGGCAAACAAGGCACAGAGAGCAACAGCAGCAAAAACAAAGCACAATATGTCAGATATGTGTGTTCAGGGCACATCAACAAGTCAAAAGCTTAACAGGCCAAAAAGCTCACACTATGTTAACAACATTGTCACAAAAATGTTTCATTGTTATTATAAGGGCACGGTTATAGTGCAAGCGGCCCAGTTTGTCATTCACAGGAAGTGTGGATTTTCCTGTCTCTCGCTCTCCAACGTGCCCTCCACTCAACAGGAGCTGTAGAGCATTTCAATAGGGATTCCACCAAATGAGCTCAGGCCCATCCTTTGACACATGCTGTGAAAAATTTACAATGAGACAGGGTCAGAGTGCAAAGTCCACTTTGCTAATCATGGGTGCGTTCCAATAATCTTCCTGGTTTTCTTCTAGAATAAGCGAGAGCACTCTGAAAAGAGAGCCAGCCCTGAAAAGATTTTAAAGACAAACCACAGCAGGCTAGACTGAAGTGTGCATACATTTCTGGCAACGCTACAAACACAAGTGCTTCCTTTAAGGTGCCGAGACTGCCTCAGCTGCTGAACGTGCCTTGCATAAAAACGGCCGGGACATGTAGGTCAAATCAATGCTCTGCTTATCAGCAGCCTTTTAACTGAAGACTGCTCTGTTGACATGGTCAGTTTTTCAGTCTTGGTCAGAAATGAAGTGCAAATGCTCAATACAAACTATCAGCAAAAGCGTTCCTGCTAAAACCGCATTGCTTTTGATAAGCAATGTAGTTGTTTCTACAAGGAGAAACAATTCTGGCCTGGCTATACTTAATAAGGCCTACCTTATACTATATATACACTATAGTCTGTTTCTGGCATCATTTTGCAGTCCATTTCAAGGGTCATCACCAGCATACCACCAAAACATGATGACAACACATGTCACTAATGTCAACAAGAAGCCAAGCATGAGCATGAGCAGAGCGGATTTGTGCATTATGGTACATCAGGTTACAGGACAGATTATTAAACTTATGTTTATTCAAGTTTAAGCTGATACTAGTGTATTTGTTCCAAATGCACAAGGAGAAGATGTATGTATTGTAGATGCATTACAGGCCTCCCTGAATCAAAGAATGGCTTTATCATTCTGGATCTAGGACATGTGTGTCCTGTAATACCATATATCCCACTGTCCCTTATTAACCTACACACCCATATTACCATATATCCCACTGTCCCTTATTAACCTACACTCCCATGTTACCATGTATCAAACTGTTCAGTTTATTATTTGCCAATTGTAAGTATAGGACTTCAGCTGCACTGCTGAGTCTACCATAATAGCATGTTTGACAGGACAAGATATTACAATATGGTATTACGACACATAACATGCTATCCCATGATATAACACTGTTCCTTGATACCAAATGGAACAGTGTGTTAAATGGTATCAATGCATATTATTATAATGCACCACCCTATATTACACACTAAAAAAGATGGTTCTTCAAGGGTTCTTTAGTACAGGTAATGGTTCCATATACTTTGTATAACGTTTTTGAAAATTGTTATATATAGCACCAAAAACGTTATGCTATGGTTACAATGTCATGCTTGCAGCAACACAAGAACCCTTTTTGGTGCTGTACAGAACCAAATCCAACGCATCCTCCATCAGTCTGAAGAACCATTTCACCATGCAAAGAACCAATTAAGCATGAAATGGTTCTACATAGAACTCATTGAACCTTTACTAAAGAACTCATGAAGAACCATCTTTTTTAAGCGTGCACCATATGGCACAATGTGTCAGCTGTTGTTATGACAGTGCTCCAATGATATAACATGCGAAAGCTTCTATCATGTGCCTTATTACCACAGAGCACGCTGTCCCTTCTCACGCTTACCGCTCAGCTCGGCGCTCCCCGCGGGCTCTGCGTCCACCTTGCGCGCGCACCGCCCGCGTCCCTGCACGAGTTGCTCGAGCGGCAGCTCTGAATCGGGCGGCGGATAGCAGCGTAGTCCGCTAGAGCAGCGCGGCGTGTACACCCCGCACGGCTCGCCCTGCTGCCGCGCGCACACCGGGCAACAGCCGCAGCCCGGCTCGCGCACCATCTCAGCGCAGGGCTCTGCGAGCGCGGGACACGCCGCCTGGCGCTCAGCGCTGCAGCTCGGGCAGCGGAACGCCGGCTCGGCGCGAGCGGCCGGCGCGAGCAACAGTAGCACTAACGGCAGCAGGGCGCGCGTAATCATCCTCGAGAGAGAAATATAGAGATAGAGACAGAAAGGTCCTCACAGGTACACGCGGAGGAACGGGACGCGCACGCGGAACAGGTGAAAGCGGGGGGACTGTGTGTGTCTGGGGTGTAGAGGGGGGCTGCTGCAGGGCCCTATCAGCGCTCAGGTCGCGCTGACATCACCGGGGCGCGAGAGCTCTACGACTGCGTTGCATATGTCATGTTTATGAAGCCTGCACGCACTCACCGGCCACTTTATTAAAAACGCCTACCTTGTATTTCTAACAACTGGCTACTCTACAAGGATCTACCTTATAGCTTCACTGTATGGACGAATAATCGCAGACTGTCCAGGTGAATGGAATGTCTCACAGGGTAGAAAACACCACTTGCTGAGGGATGGCGTTGAAGGTTTATGTTCCAATCAAGATGCGGTAGCTAGAATAAACATGTTTTAAATTGAAAAATAGATACACTTACCAGCTACTTTATTAAAAACACCTACTGTTTACTTCCACTCAGTGAGCTCCACTTACCATTTAAGTCCACTATACAGATCATCAGTTATGAACTGTAACCGATCTATTTCAGCTACCCTCTATTCCGTTTGTAATTGGTCAGTTTCTGACCACTGTGGACCACATATTATTAAGGCGGTCGTCCATCAGCACAGCAGTGGCACTGACATGGTACTGTGTGCAGTTGGTACGAGTGTATCAGGCACAGCAGTGTTGCTGGAGTTTTTACACCCATCTGTGTCACTGCTAATTTGAGAGCAATTCACTGCTCATAAAAATTAAGCCAAGAGTGGTCAAAAACTGACCACTGATGAAGGGCTCGACAATGGCTAAAGCAAATTGTGCTTGGCAAGTGACTGTCTCCGCACACTAGTAAGGTGTTTCTCATAAAGTCTCCAGAGGCTTCTTTAGTACTGCATTAAAGCTACATGTATATTTAAATAGGACTAAAGAAGCCACTGGAACACACACACATCATCTAAACCACCTATCCTTCTGAGTTGCGGTGGGGTGCTGGAGCCTATCCCAGCTGTCACTGGGCGGAAGGCAGGATACACCCTGGACAGGTCGCCAGTCCATCGCAGGGCACCACTGGAACAATATATAAGAAATACCTTGCTGGTGTAGAGAAGAAGAAGAACTTAGATGCTGTTGCTCTTGCTTTTATGATTCTTTCCAACAACAAGAGACATTGCCTCCTTGTGTGACCATTGTGACATTGTTCTTCAAACTCCACTTTTCACCTGAACTAAGCCACTGTGAGTTGGCTAATTAAAACTGATTAGCCCAGTAAAACAAACGGCACCCCTGGAAACCACTCAGGTCTCACATACTGCACGTTTCTGTTCATGCCATTCCCTCTTTCCACGTCAAGAAGAAGGCATGAGGGTAAGGATAAACAAACAAACAAGCCAGGGCCTCCAAAGGGGCGTTCTGTGTTGTTATGGACCTTGCCAGCCCCCACGTGTCGAAACACGGTTAGGCCGGTACGACTACAGCCTGAATGTTGTTCTCGTCTCTCAGTTGCCTATTGATTACGAAGAGGCCGGGAGCCGAGGTGTCATGCCTGCCGACCAAACAAGCTCCCATTAACCTGTCTGGAGGCTGGGCTTCGGTTGGCCCGGAGACTAATCGTTGTTTATTTAAGGGGTACAGAAATAGCCACCCCCCAAGCGAGACCTTCGCCTGCAGTGGCTGTCCGGGATGCATAGACGGGGATTGTTTGCGCTTTGTGGGTACCCTCTGATTTCATGGCATTTTACGTATTTTTTACTTGGCAGGCCTCCGCTCTCGCCTTGGAGAGTTTTGATGGAGAGAAGGGGACTTTTGAAATGCCAGGCCTTTTGGGGGTAGAGGTGTGGGGGCATGAGGAGGGGTGGAGGGCAGGGGCCTCACGATGAAGCTGGGAGTATTTTTGCAGAACCTCATATGTCACTTTCGAAAAAAGAAACCAGCTGGAGGCCAGGCCCACAGGCTTATAACCGGAGGCCTGTATGCTTGGAGTTTGTACAGCGTCTGGGGGCCTTCTGGGTGAGGTGGCCAAGAAGCCGCAGTATCTCCACTCGGTTAAGAGCAATTCCTATCAAGGACATTTCTCCGTAAACAAGTGAGATAAATTACACCTCAGCGCCGATGCCCCGCGGCACCAACATACTGTATACGCCACTGTACAGACCTGGAGCATACCTGTTAAAGAGGCCTTTTTCTTCATTAGGAGACCATGCCTCCATTAGGATTAGCCAAACATTTACAGTACATAGTGATTCATTCTGTTCCAGTCAAAACGGGCCTGTTAATCAGCCACGGTCGCGCCACACAATGCCGTAACGTAATCGGAGTGCAATAAAACGTGGCTGTGGTTTGATGCTGCTTAATATGACTTGCATGCGATTTCCCCTTCAAAGCTGTACTCTCAGCTACGAGTCATACCACCTATTCTCCATACACTGCAATAATGAGCCATTTGGTTTGCTTTAGCTTGATTTATTTGTGCTACTTGTGTTTAAGGCATTCAAAATAAACTGATCAAGAGGAAAGCAAGTGACTCAAGATAATCTGTTTCCAAACCTCATGGGAGTAAACTGAACTGTTTTGCATTTATAGTGACCTTACAAAGGCCTAGTTTTTTAAAACCCTCAGACTTATAAATACATCCCAGTCTAATGCATTATGGTTCAACTGGCTTTTTTCACTTATTCATTCTTACTTTGTCTCTCTTTGTTCCAAAGGCTAGGCTGGAAAGTGGACTGGGCACTCCATAAACATTATTACTGACTATCTGCCTTCACTTGCCCACAATGCTTTTAATTGTGAAAGCAATATATTCTTTTTAAGAGATCAGAGATAATGGAAATAAGAGGGCTTATTTTCTGGCCTTACTCATCTGTGGGTTTTCCAATCCGGTTGCACAAAAGGGAGGGATTCCCAGGAGCAAACAAAAAGGCATTCACTTGTTTTTGGAAGTGGAAACGAATACCTCTGATTTTCAAACAACACATTTGAGAATACAATGTTGGACTGTTCTATGTACAAGGCTACCATCTAAACCATAAACATTGTAAATATTGTTATTGTTGTTGCTGTTGTTATTATTAGTCATAGTAATAGTAGTAGATATTGTTTTTATTCATGTAATGTTTGTTTTTGTGATTTTGTTGTTTTGGATGTGGTCATAGTTATGAATGCATCCTAGCTATAAAAGGAAGAGTATAGGAAGAGGATATCAGCAGCCTGAAGGAAAATTTCTAGAAACTAAGAAAATATTTTTTTTTATTTTGAATGATGTTCATAATATTTTTGTGAGTCATGTATATGAGTCTTACATGATCCAGTTTAACATACACACAGTATTAATTAATTGATTTATTAATCAGTTAATTTATTTGCAAATCATTGACTCTGTGTTTCCTTATTCCACACTGCACTTCACTTTGCAAGTAGTTTGCAGTTGTTTTGAGAAGATACTTGACAGAGCTTTTGGGAAATAAGGTAATCAAAATAAGTACAACAAAATACTAAAAAACTAAAATAAGTTGGGGGAAACTTTCTTCTTCCTTCCTTAACCATTTGCAAAATTCTGACAAGTACTGTAATGTCCATCACACTTTCAGCTCAGTGTCCTGGTAGCATCCGTACACTTATGCTAACAGACTAAAAAGCAGCATGAAGAACAATGCAGATGCACACAGAGGAATACATTAGAAAACATTTTATTATTCAAATATAAACTTGATTTACATGTCTAACAGTTGAGAATAGGAAGTGATCCCTTCAGATGAGCTAAGACTATATCTAACACCAAGCGCTGAAGGGCATTCTGAGGAGAACTCGGTGTGTTGCAGCTGAGGTCTTTAAGCAAACTTTAAGAAAGCAATGCAAAGGATGGCATGCATATCACTACATTAATGTCTTTTTTAAAACCAAATGTTTTCTAATCACAAATATGAACGTTACACAGCCCATGTTTAATCTCTAAAGCTTAGTTAGCGAACCGGAGTCATTAATTCATATAGTTTGTTCATACATTTTTTCAGGTTCATAGGCCATTATAAGGCTGTATAAGGCTGGCATGTTTTGTCCATACATTTTGAACAATTAACATCAATAATTCTGTGGTATCAGATTTTTTCTCTTTGTTTTACTAAATTTTCTGGCCTAAGTGAAGTGCTCAAACTTTAGGTTATTGGGGGGGAGCATAGACATACTGATTTGTGCAAAATTTTGTCACTGTGACAGGGGCATGTTTACCACTGTGTTTCATCACCTCTTCTTTTCACAACACTCTGTAAGCATTTGGAAACTTAGGCGACCAGTTGCTGTAGTTTTGAAAGTGAAATGTTTTTCCATTCATGCTTGATATAGGATTTCAGCTGCTCAACAGTTTGACGTCTCCTTTTTCATACATTTTTATGTGTCATAATCCACCAAATGCTTTCAGGTCTGGATTGCAAGCAGGCCAGTAGCACCTGGACTCTTTTACTATGGAGCCAGGCTGTTGTTGTACGTGCAAAGTATGATTTTGTATTGTCTTGCTGAAATAAGCATGGCCTACACTGAAAAAGATGTCATCTGGACGGCAGCATATGTTGGTCCAAAACCAGTATATATTGTCCATTAATGGTGCCTTCACAGATTTGTGAGTCACCCATGACAAGCACTAATGCACCTCCATACCATCAGGGATGCTGGCTGTTGAACTGTGCACTCATAACAAGCTAGATGGTCTCACTCCTCTTTAGCTCCTGATTTCCAAAAAGAATTTCAAATTTTGATTCATCGGACCACAGTACACTTTGCCACTTCGCCTCAGTCCATCTTAAATGAGCTTGGGCTCAGAGAAGGTGGCCACGTTTCTGGATCCTGTTTGTACATGGTTTTTTCTTTGCATTTTTTACTTGCATTTGTGGATGAAGTGACAAACTGTGTTCAAGGGCAATGGTTTTTGGAAGTGTTCCTGAGCCCATGCAATGATTTACACTATAGAATCGTGCCTGTTTTCAATTCTGTGCTGCCTGAGGGCCCGAAGATCATGGCCAGCAAATACTGGTTTTCGGCCATGTCCCTTGCATACAGAGATTTCTCCAGATTCTCTGAATTTTTTAATGTTATTATGTACCCTAGATGATGAAATCCCCAAGTTCTTTGCTATTTACACTGAGAAATGTTATTCTTGAATTGTTGCACTATTTGCCTGTGCAGTCTTTCACAGAGTGGTAAACCCCACCCCATCTTAATTTCTGAAAGACTCAGCCTCTCTGGGATGCTCTTTTTATACCCAGTCATGTTACTGATTAATTTAATTAGTTGTGACATGTTCCCCTAGATGTTTTATAGCATTCCACAACTTTTGTTGTCTTTCGTTGAAAACTTTTTTGGAACGTGTTGCTGGCATGAAATTCAAAATGTGCATGTATTTTCCAAAAAACAATACAATTTCTCAGTTTCAACATTTGATATATGATTGTCTTTGTACTATTTTCAAATAAATATAATGTTTAAATGATTGGCACATCATTGCATTCTGTTTTCATTTACATTTTGCACAGCGTCCCAACTTTTTTGGAAACAGGGTTGTACTTAAATGTATAACAGAAAATTATGAGATCTTACACTTTGCTTATATTAATATTATTAAGCACAGAATAAGATTAATCCATATAGATCAGCATAATAGTGTAAGCATTGTTCCTCAGGAGCCGAGTTTCAGAAATCTCAGAAATAGGACAAAAGTTTCATACTTAACCATGTGTAGTAAAGCTAAATAAGATTAAGAAGAGATATTATTTAGAATATTATTTTTTTCCATTGGGGATGCTCTCTGAGAGCCTGTTTAGCAATTAGAGTAAAAATAAGCTTCTGATTTAGTATGAAAAATAATACTAAAACTGGTTCAATTGCAGGTGTCGTTGATTATTTTAATGCTGGAGATGTTTGTAAAGATGTCAGTGAAATTATACAGCTTAAAAGCTGTGAAATTTCTGTGGATGCATATGGCTAGCTAACTGATCTTAATATTGTTCTGTAACATTATTTGTAGTCAGACATCACATTAAAATGAGTGTTAACAACACAGTAACACAGACAAATTTAAGCTAAGCAAATGTAGGTATGCTATAAGCCAGTGGTCATCAAACCTCCTAATTTGCTTCCACTGTCCTTTTTATTCCAGGTTTGTTCTGAGTTCTATCAGCCTGATGAAGTATTGCTTTGAGATGTTTGCTAAGCATTTGCTGGCTGACTGTTAATTATCATTTCACAAACAAAATCAATTAAGTGTGTGACCACATGACACTTTTGAAGTCACATAGAAGTGATGTTAGTTAGTGATAGTGATGTTTCTCTAAAAATCTGGAAGTGCGAACTATTCAAAGTACAAGCATTAAAAGACAGAAAGATCGAGAGAGGAGGGAGAGAGAGAGAGAGAGAGAGAGAGAGAGAGAGAGAGAGAGAGAGAGAGAGAGAGGCTCCACCTGTTGGCCACTGCGCAACATTATTTTTTGGCTGATCATTTTTGGGCTGCTCCATTACCCATATTAGCCTACTGTATTGGTCATACAGTCAATACTTTATTTTATACTATAGTTTTTAGATAGAAAGTAAAAATAAAAAGAATCCTAAATATTTTCTTGGAATATTTGAGTTTTTGTAGTACGGTAAAAAATAGCAGGTGCACAAAATCCATGCCCAGCATGGCATACATATTACTGCAATGCTTCTTCATCCCAATAAATCACATTATAGACAGAAACTTGGTCTTATTTTCTAAATGGACAATTGCACATCATCCAGTAACAGCAGCATGCTATCTCTTTAAGGAGGCTACATCAAGAATATGCATTTAATGAAACATTTTCTAAAAGGAACTTCTGAATATTGGAATACTGACTCTCTAAATAACTCCAAACAAGCCCGTGTCCATTAAAAGCATACACGCATCACTGATGAGCTATAGACATTTAGCAGCTTAAAAATGCAACTTTTAACTTTTCTCATGACTGTATACAGAAATGCAAACGCAAATATGTTTGGCATTTGAATTTGAATCACCCTCATGGTTACTCTTGTTATGTCTGGTAAACTATTGAGTGCGATATATCAACTGTGGAGTTTTTTCATTGCAGAGGTAGTCAATGAAAAAAATTCTAATAAAGTTGATCTTTGAATCAAAACATCCAAGATTTTTGACAGGTATAATTAGTGCAGCCTTCTACATTGTTTAATCCAGATCCTACACTCCCGACAAGCGTGTTCTTATCGTAAAAATCAGCCAGAGAATTTATACTGAGGAGAACTGCCACAAACTGCTGGTTTAGTCAGGCACTGGAGGGTTCTTTTGCGAGAATCCAGAATGAATGGGTTTCTGTAGAGCTTTTCTGCAAAATCTTAATTTCTATAATGGTAAATAAAGTCTTTTGATACACACAAATGCACTCATTTACTAAAAATGAACAGCTTAAAATATTTCAACACTGCTGTCATATTTGAAGTCAATTTGAATCAGAAATCATAAAGCATTTTCCCTTTTATTCGCACCACAACGTATTTCTGAGTGAAATACGTTTCAGAGAGGGTCTCTTAGCTAGCTGAGCATTTTTTCTCAATGATAGGTGGGATGGTCGGGGGTTCAAACATAATATAAATGATAAATATTATTGAAGCATGTTCAAGCAGTGTTTTGGCATGTTAGTTTTAGTATAGCATCTAGCATTTATTGCACTTGGTTTGTTTGCTATGGAGTCCTATTGTGAAGGGTGGGGCTGGGGTGTGTGTGTGTGAGCAGAGAGAGTGTCAAAGATGCAAGCTGAGAAAGAGCAAACTGTTAGAGAAAACTCTGCTTATTTACGACCTGGCTGTGCCTGACAACAGGTGGAAAATAAAACACCAGGATTTGTACAAAAGCAGTGTCTCTTTTAATAGTGGTGAGCACTACATTATTTTTCCCTGGCCTCAAGTGCATGATGACGCAGAAGATATTTTTTAGAAGTTGGTAAAAACGAGTAGTAACTAGGCGAGATCCGAGTTTGAATCACAGTGTACATAACTCATTCCATGTAAGATTTTTAATGTCTAAAACTGTCTAAAAGTCAAGTGGATAAGCATTTGTGTGAATATAGAAATTACTTATTCTACCAGTGCTTTTTCTCTTTTATATTGACTGAACCTAAAAGTGATCTGCAAAGATTTGCATTATTTTCAGATAAACATGAAGACAGTGAGAGCTAGCCTGGCCTGAGGACGGTGTTTTTCCTTAAAGCTGAATTATGGACCGACATTCTGATATCAGATTTTCTCCTGAAAATCCCCAACCTACAACATTACAAGGCCAACATTTCATAGCTTTGAGATATGCAGAGTTTTAAACAAGTTGAACACACAACTTCGTAAAGTGTACTGGGCCCACTAGAGCAGGGGTGCACAACTCCGGTCCTGGAGGGCCGGTGTCCAGCACAGCTGGGAGCTTTTCACTTTTCTTTACAGAAGTGATGATAGGAACCAGGGGTCACAATGTCTACTACATAAATATAACCATTGTATTAACTATTCAAAACCATCAGTGAATCTACAAGTGTCTTTTGAGATCGTATATGTAATGTTGATGATGGTCAGTTTGAAAAAAAATAAGTTTATTTTGCTTTACAACACCCTTTGTATACTTTTCTGTCAAAAATGGATTAAAATAAATTGATTAAAATACATTTGAATCCAAAAATTAATCTCAAAATTATCATACTACAGTGTGACAATCAGGCAGCACATATCTGACCATTTCATGTCATAACTTTCTGTAAGGCAGGTTTCAGAGCCATTAAATTCTTCAGACGTCTGGTTCCTATCACCATCACTGTGAACAATTCTGACGAGTTTCTCTAAAATGGAGCATTTCACATCAAACCACTCTAAATGACTTTGTTTACATCTTAACCATTTAAAAAAATCAAAAAAAAATCGGTGGAGTTCCCGCCTAACCATCATTAGCATAATAGCCTACCAACGCTACTGAGGAAGTCAATTTAAACTGTAAATAAGATGGTCTAGTATTCCATTAAAATTAATAATTCCTCACAGGTGACCTTTTAAAAAAGTAATGTGGACGAAGCAGGGCACTTTAAAACGTGGTGGTGACTGCCATCCTCGGCACGAAAGCTCCGCATTGAGTAATGTATGAATGGGCTGCAACAAAGTCGCTGTGGAGAAGTCGAACCCGATTGGGCCAGCGAGCACCAGGGGGCGCTTCAATACCAATGTTCACCAGTTTGGCCTGTGAGGGCCGCCGTCCGTTTATCTTACATCACAGCCGTGATAGCGAGCGTCCAAATGTCAACAATGTGAGAGGAAGCAGAAAAGAAGCACAAGAACCAAAACAATGGTTTCTAATATTGTAGTTACCGTCCCTAAACAGTTGTTTCGTTGTGTCAACGGGTCGCATTTTGTTTGATACATAAGGTAGTTAAACTAGGCTGTCATTTCAATAACCAGTATTCGCGAAGTAAGTTAATTTAGAATTTGCTTCTGTATAATTTGCTGAGGTTTGTTACCTTTGTACTAGCCACCCTAGCCAGAATTACGGCGTGTATTTATGTAGTTATCCAGTTTAAGCTGTTTGTTTACTACCTAAACACTTAATAGAATTATAACGTTAATTATTTTCTACAGGAACAAATTAGCTAACTAGCTCGCTAACACCAGTCTCCGGCAACAAAAATGACACGCTTGTCTAGTTTAAATGTATCAGACTGCCTTAGCATATCTGGCTGACTGTTTTCTGTTTAAAGTGTTCTGTTTATTTATTGTTGTCTTTCGTGTTTTGTTGCCATATTTTTTATAAGTAAAAACCAACTACGTGGTTTTGTTGACAAGTAGGAAATAAAACGCGTACGGCAGCTAGCTAGGTTATATACGGAATACACGTTTGGTTAACAGCAGTAGAGCAGCCTTGCTGACGAGGAAGCTTTAGCAGTTCTCGTTACCTTGTTATAGCTTGCGTGTCCACTTTAAAGGGAAATTCCACCGATTGTTCAAAACTTTTGATAATTCCGTCGTTGCGATGTAAGCAGTCATACATCATGGTTTGATGTAAAATGTTTCGTTGTAGAGAAGGTTACAGACTCAGATTTCTTTACAGTGGTGGTGCTAGGAAGCAGGGGTTGCGATGTCTACAGCACAAGTGTATCTATTTTATTAATTATCTGAACCCTACTAGAGAACCTACACGTGTCTTCTACGTTTTGTATATAATGTTTATGATGGTTAAAAAGTGGAAAATCTGAAAAGATTTTGGGGGCATTATTGTGCCTTACAACACCTTGCATGTACCCGTCAGTCATGATTGGATTAACAAGAAATTTTATCACAATTATTTTAAGGTTTTATCACAAAACTATGACAAAAGTCTCAGGAATCAGGCATTTGTGTAATACCTTTTGTGAGGGAGATTTTATAGGCAGTTAACTCTTCAGGCTTTTGGTTCCTATCACCACTGGTGTGAACAGTTCTGACTCTGTAAGCTTCTCTAGAATAAAGCATTTCTCATCAAACCACTCTGAATGACTGTTTCCATCTTAACCATTTAATTATGCAGAAACATAGAAAAATTGGTGGAGTTTCCTTTTAAGTTGCACATATTTCAGTCAGACAAAACAGCTGCTCACTATAACCAAGTAGAATATGCCTTTCCCAACTATCACCAACCTACACAGACTTGGCAGACAAGTATTTACACAGTGCATCTCTTTGAACTGTATTTTGAGATGGTTGAGAGATATTTCCCCATATTTGACAGCGATCAATCTGCTTTTTCCTTGTCTTAGGATGCCAGCCACCCGGGGTGGTCAGTCCACTCTTGTGCACAGCCTTGCTACACTGTTACGGAATAATGGTACTGCCCTCCTATTTCAATTTAACCCATCCTGCCTATGCTTTGTGTATGTGTTCGGTGGTGGCCATAATCCACACTGCTTACTTTTAACCATGTTCTGGGCTTTTTCTCTAGGTGACTCGGTTTTGGATGGCTCAAGCACACTCACTCTGCAGGTGGATTGTGTGCAGCATCTGACACGTCTCTTTGAGCAGTACCTCTTATCGCACACACACCAGCATGGCTTCCTGGCACTTCCCTCCCACCCAGCCGACACAACCTCTCTGTTACAGGTGCAGTTCCTTTTCGACGTGCTGCAGAAAACCATCTCACTCAAGGTAAAATCTTTGCTGAAACTCTGTTGATGTCTTTCCATTGCAGCAAACCAGCACATCATTTGGGGATTATAATATCTCACTTTCATGAAACTCTTAGTTTGTGTTTATTGTAATTTTAACAGCAGTTTTATTCTCACATTTAAGGTATTTCCAGCTTAGAATGCACATTAGGTCACTGAGTCTTGATTTTGCTAAATGGTAATTTATGAGAACATCCAAATGGAGCTTTTGTTAACGTTGAAATTATGCCCTGCTGTGAAATGTAGCTCATCAGTCCACCTGGCACACGACTGCAGTCTGTCGTGAAAATCTTTCCCTTCAAGTCGCTCAAGAACTTAGAGGTAGGTCGTCTTCAGTCTTCATAAATAATTTTGCCATTCATTCATTTAGACAATATGTGCCCATATCATTTTTGTCCCCTCTATGCCACTGGCTGAATGATGACTTTGAATTTTGTGTGTATGGATCCAGCTGAAACGAATTCCTCCTCATTGTCTGGAAGGTCTGCGAGGTGTCTACTCCCAGTTGGAGGTCTTCACCTGCTCCAAGAGCCTCAACTCGCTGGAGGTACTACTTTTTTGACAGTAGCACAAATTACAGTTTTGAAGATTGCTTAGATCAGGGGTGTTTAGTTTCAATCCTGAAGGAACATAGCACATTTTGGTGATCTCTCTGCACAAGCACACCTGCTTTAACTCATTTGTTAATTGCCAGGTTTAGTAGGAAATGGAATCACCAAACTGTACTGGACACCAGCCCACCAGGACTGAAGGTGAACACCAGTGGCTTAGATGCATTTTTTTTAAAACATTAGCCTCATTCTCAGAACTCTCAGTGCAGGGGGGGTGTATTTCACAAAGCAGGATTTCTCAGTTTAGACAGGAAATTGAAGACCAAAGTCAAGCCCATCTAATAAGTGAGCATGTGGCATTCCTATAGGACAGTCGTTAACTTTGGGCTTAAATACCTGCTTTGTGAATTACACCCAGTTCTCAAAACAGTAAAAGCATTTCTGACAACACTGTTCCACCAACAGAAAAGAACCTCAAACGGACAAAACATCAGCCACATACAGTCTCAAACTTCATCTCCTGCCGTCCATGGCACAGAGGGAAAAGCCTTCTTGCATGTTGCATCCATCTGCAGTGCTCAGAACTGGCATACAAAGCCTCATCTGGCTAATGGGGCTGGAGATTGTATACCTTCCACCTAATAACTACTCAATAGGGTTAAATAAGGGTAAATAGGGTGGTAGGAGCTCTATCGACGTTCAGCATACAGGGATACAGTATGGTAATACGGTAATATTTTGTACAGTACGTTAAAGTGCAGCACTGGGTGATGTGATGAGTTGTAAATTACACACGCCTGCGTCCATTCCTGAATGTCTGTATTGATGCCACGGAAGACCAGTTGAGCTGATGTTGTGCACTTCGACCAGCCTCAGACATACTTAGGCCCTGGTTCACTACATGGAGTTTTGTAGTGGCCTCAAAGTTATTTTAAATTTTCAGTCACCTTTGCCTTCCCCTGCTTATTCCCCATTCTCACCCTCTTACCATAGCACCACACATTCAGACAGATCTCTGGCCAGGTACTTTTTCCCTGTGTTGTATATAGTATACTACAAGAATTTACACGTTTACAACATAAGGAGGGTGCCAGGTAGTCCCTGTAACTCCTACAAGTGAAACTTAAATTTTAACACCTTTTTTAGCATTCAATTTTAGAAAACATGCTTTTAACCATTCAAATGAGTAAAATGTTGATTTAGCATAGAATTAGCAAATACACAAGATTTTTTAACTAGCATCCATGGCATGATGACATTAAGGACATTGTAATGACTTAAAATTACTTAAATTGTATTTTATAATAAACAATTTACTTTCACTCTATAATTTAGGAAACAGAGTGGAACTTTGAAAGTGACCTTGTCATTCAGTATCACAATAAAACTGAAAACAAAGAAAAAAAAAATAAAAATGTACTTTTTTCCCCTTTAGAAAATTTTAATAATGCAAATTGTTGAACATGTGACTTGTGGAACATTCCAGATATTTCACTGGTGTTAGAAATTTGGCAGGAGGAGTCAGGAGACTGGAGCTTCGGCATTGACTGGAGTTTATTTCCACATACAGAGTAGGGGTACAGCTTGGTCAATCGACGGTCAATCAGCAATATCAGGAGTCTAGTCTTATTCATGTGCGAAAACAACATATATTGAGAATATTTTCTCTCAATTCCCCCTTTGATTCTCCCTAATGGAGAATCACAAAACTGTATTATGACTACAAGTACAAATCATATGTACAATGAGGAGACAAGAAACAACAATTAAAATGGCTATAACTGTACAGAATAGGATAGTGCTTATCTCCATAGGATTATGCCAAAAAAAATGTCCAAAAAGTGAAAAATGCAGCCAATGGTTGGAGCTGTTTAATGCTGCTACTTTGCAATGGAAATATTCTTGAAGAATATTGGAGATGTCTTTAGGATCTTGAAACTTGAACAGTTTGCTTCAACACCATGATGTTGCATTGCAAGTTGAATTCCACAGCAGCAGTTGCTTGGGCAGATCATCCTGGAAGTCCACTTTGAATAGCAGGTATTCAGTTCTTCCTAGCTTAGGTGTGCAGTGTCAAGACATTTGTGTCATGCTGGGCAGGAACATGGGCTCCAGTTTATCTGTAACACACAAAAAGAAATATTTGCGCAGTAAACTGTTCATCAATGTTGAGAAGTTATTCATTCATAATTAGGTTATCTGCTCTCCCCACTATGTGTCCCTCAGAGGGGGCTGGTATGGTTCCACACAGTGTGTTGAAATCTTCACCTACAGGAGTGGCCCCCAATGGCCTAAAAACCATGGTTCTTTCCTGAGGCTCTGTGCTTCACCCACCCCGTCTCCAGCTGTCCCTATATTCAGTTCTGGGGTGCAGACACAACCTTACAATGGGAAACATGTGTTTGTGTTTTCTCCTTTTACACTTAATGCCTGTGTCAGCTATAAGCAGAACCTTAATATGGAGCTTCTCATCTAGATTCTAAAGACTGCTTGCCATGTTTCCTCACCATGACTCATTAGCCTGAAACTATCATACAGATACCTTCAGCACTGAGTTAGTAGTACTGTTTGGAAAAACTGCTTTTACTTACTTCTCAAAATTAGAATTCCAACATGAAAAACTAATTCACATTTTTATACCCCTGTGTGACCCAAGGGATGTGTTTGTGTCACGAGGCAAAGAAAGCAATGCTTCAAATTCAAGTTTTCCCCCTTTGGTCCAAACACCATCCGGAGCAACTTTTGCATCTGAATTCAGCCATGTCCAGTTCCCAGTCTGGACTGTAGCTGAGTTACCAGCAGATCGTATAGTGGTTTTTAAAATGGTAACATAAGAATTCAAGGCCTACTGTAGTTACATAGACTACAAAAAACACAAGGCCCAAAGTTGTTGTGGGCATTAATGTGAGGGCTTCTATCAGGCAAAATTGAACCACTTAGTAGTCAATTTCCCTAATTACTGTACACCAGCACAACAATTCAACTATTTTGCCCTAATATCCATTGCTTACAAACAAAAAAATCAAAAAAATGGTTTTACATCTGGTTTAAGTAATAGTTCAACACCCAGATAAGATAGTTCAACACCCAGATAAGCTGAAGCATCAGAATAATTAGTTAAAAGCAGGAGCAGACGAAACTATGACTCCTTCTATCACCTTCATTACCAAAGACAACTGCTCTGTGACTCCCTGCATGGTTCTGATTATCAAAGATAACTGCTCCTTTGAAATTCCCTGAAAAAGCTTTCCTGCTGGGCTTCCCTGTGAAATTCCCACAATGGGATTTCTTGCTGGGGTCCCGTTCACCCTCTCACCTTTTTTGTGTATTCCTGCCTGCTTTTTATGACAGTGTCTGGCCTGATGACCAAATTTATGGCAGTAGTGACATTCAGATAACTTATCCTTCTTATTGGAAGTAAAGTTCTGCTTGGAGCTTGGGTTAGAGCTACTCTCTGTGAGTACATGTATAGATGCAGGGACATTGCAGAAATCCAAATCACAGTCTAGGCGATCAAGCTTATCTTTAAGGCTCCCCCATTTAGCTTTACGCCAGTTTGGAACAGCAGTCACTAGTGCTTGCCTAAGGTCTGATCGCAGTGACTCAACAAGTTGTCCAAAATGAGGACCATCGGTTGTAGAATCATTGTTATTGTATTTATCAATACCGGAGTAACTGCTCACAGAAATCTGCAGCTGACTCTCCCCTTTTCTGTCTGCGTTTGGTTATTTGCCCCCAGTCAGTAGTTTTGCGACATTTATAGCTGATCCAGTCATTGAAAGCTTTCCATCCCCTTTCAACGTCAATGTCCCGGCCTTTGTCACCCAATGCATCCAGTAGCTTATTAGCAAGCTGTCTACTATCTGTTATGTCAAGTTCTTGGCTTTCTATGGCAACAGCATCATTGGGATGCAATAAGTAGATGGTCCTTTTCTTTTGCATGAGATCAACAAAGTCAAGCCCCATTTCCCTAGGAGGTTTAAATTCTTTGGACAGCTTGTCCAAGGTGGCTGCATCTGAGGGAACATGACCAACTTCTACTCTGGCTTCCTTGACTTCACCTCCCTTATTAAGGACCTCAGAAGATCTAATAGTGATTGGTCTCATCTGAACTGCCTTATCACTAGTAGGTTCAGAATCCTCTTCAGAGGAGGAGGTTTCTGATCCAATGGAATTAATTGCATCCATTTCTGGATACAGCATAGCCAACAGCAGGGGATCTTCCTCCTCTGTGTAGCATGGCTGATCCGGAGGAGGGCCTACAGGTAGAGATTGGCACTGACACTTTGACTTAGATGTACAATTGGCCTGTTGATGTTCAACCCTGGTCAGTTGTTTGTTCTCTGGGCATTCATGGCAGCTATTTTATGCTTTTTACAGTCGCTGGTTAGCTCTAGGATCTTTCCCTCAGCTTCCTCTAGATTACCCTCCATGTATCTAAGCTTATACTTCCAGTACTGCTTTATTACAAAAAGACATTCCTTAACTCAATTATACTTAATACCATAACCCAAAGCTGTTTTACATTCCTGAAGAGTCCATTCTCTATGAGCAGAAAAACCTTTGGATAAAAAGTACTGAGTTGTCTTTTGCTCATGAATGTGTTTCCCTATTGTGTCATCCATTACCTTTTCAAATGCAAATTCAGTCCATTCAGACATTTCAGTTCCTCCCTTAACTAGTGTACTCTTTCTGAAGTTAAGAGGTTTCCAAGAGTCTTTCTCAAGATTCTGTAGTTTTAGGCCTGTACTAGTCGTGGTGAGACAAAAGAACAACAACACAACCAATCTTCCCTCACTGCCTGAGAGGATAACCCATATAAACTACCAGCCTTCACGCTACAGGGTTTCCCTCACTATCTGAGAGGATAAGTTACAAAATCACTGGCCTTCCCAAATGCCAGTCTTCCCACGCTACCTGATAGGATAAGTTACAAGAAACGCTAGGCTTCTACCAGTGACAAAAGTAACAGTGACAGGAGTAACCTTCCCTCAGAACAGAGGGGATAACAGCCACAAAAAAACCCACTAGGTTTCTTTACCAGTGACGATAAGTAACTGTCCTTCAGAACAGAGGGGATAACAGCCACAAAAAAACACTAGGTTTCTTTACCAGTGACGATAAGTAACCTTCCCTCAGAACAGAGGGGATAAGAGCCACAAAAAAACACTAGGTTTCTTTACCAGTGATGATAAGTAACCTTCCCTCAGAACAGAGGGGATAAGAGCCACAAAAAACACTAGCTTTCTTTACCAGTGACGATAAGTAAACTTCTCTTGTTTCAGAGAGTATAACCTTTACTGACTCCACTATCTTATAAAGCCAGAATTTCTCTTCAGTTCAAAAATGGCGTTTTTACTCACGTAGGTTTCAGTAAGCCATCCACGGCATGGCACCAAGTTGTTAGAAATTTGGCAGGAAGAGTCAGGAGACTGGAGCTTCAGCGTTGACTGGAGTTTTTTTCCACATACGGAGTATGGGTACAGCGTGGTCGATCAACAGTCAATCAGCAGTATCAGGGGTCTAGTCTTATTCATGTGCATGCAGACAATCATGCACGGGCACAGCTTGGTAATCAGTGTGTCACCAGTCTAGTCTGGTGACCAGTCCATTCTAGTCTAGCCTGGTCAGCAGTCCAGTCTCCAGTCCAGTCTGACAAGAATATTTTGGAAGGACCTTATATACATTGAAAACTAAGGGGGAGGAAGGAGGAGGAAAAGGAGTTTGAAGAGTGTTTGAGTTTGAGGGAGAATATGAATATAGATGTAGGGAGTAGAGATAAGGAGGGGTGATTGTTATCATCTTAAGTTTGGGAGACAAAGGGTCATCTCAGTACAAACAAAGGAGTGAGTTGACAAGGTTAGAGTGTTATCACCTTTCACCTCATCCCTTTCTGCAAAGGGCGGGGGACAAGTATTACTTTTCTACAACAAAAGGCCATTTGCTAAAACTCTACAGTAAACACGAAAATAACATATAATGGAAAACAACATATATTGAGAATATTTTCTCTCACTGGGCATTAGATGTTAAATGGATTCACACATTAATGCAAAAAATAATAAGATTTTTGAAATGGTTTTAATGTGTAGTTATGTTGAGTTAAGGCATGCAAAATACTGTCTTTTAAGTGCTGTAGATAGGTCATATTTATGTTCAGAGTTATTTATCTGAAGCATACATGTTGTTGCGTCAGGGTTACTACAGGTCAGTAAAGTCTTAAAGAGTTTAAAATCCAAGAACCTAAATTTTAGGCCTTAAAATGTTTTAAATGTGGTTTTGATATGTCTTAAAGATTGATTGGATTGTGAAGGTAACATTACCTTTGTAAAGTTGTATTAATTCTTGCTTTTAAATGTGTTTTTGGGGAAAAAATTTGTGTTGATCACACTGTAACAAAACTACAAAACAAAACCAACATGGAATCAATAAGCACTAATGCAGCCTGTGTAGCTTGGCCGGATGTGGTGTGGTGTGTGGGTTATCGTGACGTCTCCTCTCATCAAAAAAATAGCTAGTTCTAGAACTAATAAGTTAAAATAGTTTCTGTTAAGATTGCTTTCATCTTATTTGGGTAAGTGCAAGTTCAGCAAGATCTGGCTCTAGAACAGCGCATTTAGTGCTTGGTTGAAGCCTGTTAAAAATAAGGAATTTGAAGCCCGCTGCACCTTGTGCAAGAAAAATCTCAAATTAGGACCTTTAGGTATAGGCATTATAGTTGCATAAAAAAAAAAACCCACCATAAAAAGCGACCAGCAGACGCCTGCCATTACCCAATATTGTTCTGTATTCACATCGAGAGCATTACCAAAGTCTGGCCCCAGCATGACCCACTCTGTACTAACAACGTTAACTTCTGCAACTCCAGTAAGACACCTCTAGACAACGCTTGGATCTACACCAACATTAAACGCGGAGGTGCTCTGGACTTCACAAACAGTAGCTACACATCAGTCTGTGGAGAAAGGCTTTTCTGTAAACAAGGAAGTGAAGACTTGCAACATGTTGTTGCACACAGGCTTGTGTGTGATTGTCACTCTACATGGGGGGTTACCAGTGTTCCCGTCACAGAAGAGCTCCTGACTTCTGCGGCATCTGTCAGATCCAGGCACCATGTCCGCCTTGATCAAGAGAGAAGGAAGCAGGAGTCAGATGCACAGGGCTGGAGGAGAAAGGCTACAGAGGATTACAGTGTAGAACTAAAAAAAAAGAAAAGAAGACCCAGACCCTGAGAGGTTTCTGAAAGTCTGGTCAGAGACAGGTTCACAGAAGAGTCTGAGGGCAAGGCTGGCAGTTGGATGGCCAAGCTCATACCAAAGTCAAATGCTCTGAGGAGGGGCTGCAAGGAAAAGTAAGCTGAGCTCAAGAACATTGAGAAGGAGATTGCAGCCAAGGGAGAAGAGCTAAGATTAATGTAGCCTAGTTCATGTATACACATGCATGCACACGGACACACACACACATTAGTCTTGCGTACATACAGTTCTGTGTGGTCGTGTTCAGTTGAATGTTCATGTTGAATGTGAATAAATTAACTTACTTTGTAAGTAATTCTGGGACTCCATGTTTTCCTTTATGTCCTTTGTACTTGCTTTGCCAGTACGGAAGTGAAATAAGTATTAAATTGTGTTCATAATAGTCTTGAAAAAGGTCTTAAAAAGTCTTAAATTTACATTGTTGAATCCTGCAGAAACCCTGTGTGACGTACACTTATGTTTTATGTTTTACTTTAAATACATATTTGTGAATGTAGCTTAAGTGGGACAGAAATGGTACCCCAATTGTGGAATCACCCAGGATTCATTTTACAAACTGTAGTGTAGCATTTTGCGTTTGTTGTTGACACAAGTTTTGGAAAGTGCATCCAAATGAAAGTAAATGAAAAACATATAACCAATACTTATGCAGATATGTAAAGTTTATGGTGTGGTGTATGTATGCGTGGTGTAACAGGAGCTGCTGTCACTCTGTGGAGGAGATCTCAGCTCTGCTCTGCCCTGGCTAGAACTTCACACCCTCAACTTTAACTACAACTCTATTTCCTGTCTTGACGAATCCCTTGTAAGGCACTTTCTCTCTTTCTCTCAGCCAGCTGTATTATTGTCACCATTCATATGAGATGAGCTAAATAGTTTTTTGCCATGTATTATGTCCTTTTTGACTCTTTTATTTAAACATTTTCAGAGTTTATTGAATGTTTTGAAGTCACTTGACTTGAGCCACAACAAGATCCAGGACTGTGCTGAGTTCTTGAAGGTACATTTTACTTATTCATTTTATTTATTATAAAAGAATTTACTACGGATAAATCGTCTTATACATGAAGCATGGCAGTGTTGGTTAATTTCTTCTTTGTCTGCAGCCACTTAGTGAGCTGGAACATCTCAACCTAGCCTACAACAACCTACAGAGGGTGCCAGTGCTGGGCCTGAATGCCAGAGCAAAGCTGATCACTTTAGTACTCAGGAACAATGAACTGGAAACAATTAATGGTGAGAGCAGTGGACAAGAAATATAAAATGTTTTGGTTTGGTTTATTTTTGAAGTTTGGAAGCTATGGCACTGTCAGCTCCGCTGTTCTAAAGATAGCCAGAGCTTTCTTAGAGACAGACAATTTGTCAAGATTATGTTCTTCTACCAGAAGTCAAGGGCGCATTATCGAGTTCGGCTGCTTTGGTAGTCCATATTTGGCCATGGGATGCCCTCTGGGCAGGCTTTCTGTTTGTGTAATCCCCAGCAGGACCACTGTTGCTGTTGGACAGCTCAACACAGGAACTGGAACGCGAGTTGACTGTCAGGGCAACTGTTGCACCTTTTAAACACTGTGGAGCTCTCCCAGTAAGCCTTATTTGGGCTGATTTGTTGCTGATGGCATTGCACTATATGAAATTCCTCATCTTGCTCATATGGATGCTGTTCAGAATGTACTGTGTCTCTGTCCAGGCACTGTGTTGTGTTTTTAACAGTGATCTTTTTAGAAAGTATTCTGCACCAGACTGTTTTTAGATCATTTAGCATTTAGGTTTAGTGTTACTTTCTGTTTATATGAGCATGTGCGCAACTGCATATACAGTGGCCTCCTAGTGTTAAATTACTTAAGAAAACTGAAAAACAGACTGAGAATTGTCCAAGCAAACTGTGTGGTATTTTCCACTGACTTTAAACGTCTCTCACACAGCCATGCAATACATATATATATAATACTAACTGTAATACATGCATGTAATACTAACTTATGTTTTATGAGATCCCATAACAACTGCCACAGATACTCACACATACATTTGTTGCTCAAATTCTGTTTGCCCTGTGTGTTAGGTTACATAACTAGTAGTTGATCTACTGTTTCATGTCTAACGCAGGAGTGGAGCAGTTGTCTTCTCTACAGCATCTTGATTTGGCCTACAACCTTTTAATGGAGCATTCTCAGCTAGCCCCACTGTCCCTCCTTCACAACCTCAATACGGTAAGAAAGACTTGTTAGTGACTCCTTTTGATCTGCATTGGTTTTTCTGTTTAGGCTTCTACTCTTTGATATAAGGCAGTAGAGGGCAGTATGGACAAAATTTATTTCATAGTATTATTAAGATTACTGATGGTTTCGGTATATCATTGTTTACTCTCTTTTTTCAAATAAAACCATTTTGGATGCTTTAGTAAGCTAAACCTTTTTTGTAGATTAACCATGCCATATTATTCTATGTCCTTTCACATTTAATAAGAACCATATTTAACATCTGAAGTAAATTAAAAAATATTGTGGCATCAGTATAGGCCTGGGTTTTGACTGAGTTCCAAAAACCAACACATTGTTTTCTAAAAAAGAATGCGTTGGTTTTTGCTATGACGGTAACTTCACATAGTCTGGTTCGTACTGGCACGTACTGATTCTGTCCAAAAATAGTAAGTAGTATGCAGTATGTGACCAACATGAATTTCTCTAGTACACCACATGTACCCGGATGACGCACTGCTCAGGCAAATTTTTCCAGCACGCAGCCAGAGCCAGAGAACTTGTACAGAGGAAAATTACCACTCCATAATGTCTTTCAGGTTTCTCAAACGCTAGAGAGCGTTCCCGAGCGAGTCCAAAACAAATGGGTTAAGATAGAGCATTTGAGCAAAATCATAGTTTGTAAATGTTTAAATATCTTTATATAGAGGAATACATTTCCTGATCCCAGAACAGCATTAAACATTTTAACATGGCTGTTATATTTTTGAGTGCTTTGAACTCAAGTTATAGGAGTTTAAAACGGCGCTTCATTTATGCTCATGATGTCAGTGAGCATGAACAGCCAATGACCAGTATAGACATACAAAAATAATAAATATGAATGTATATTATAATTCCTTTTTATTATGAAGATTTGGCTAGTAGTTAGAGTTTTGAAGTTGTGAGTGCAGATTAGAGATGAAACGATATTAAAATTTCATATCACGATTATCATGACCAAAATTATCACGATTATCGGTATTATCGCGATATTGTTCAAATGTGTTGAAAAGTAAAATTAATAAAAAAAATAAATACTGATACACAAACTGAAACCCGTTTCACCAACTTTTATATTAACACAAATAGAATTGGCAGCAATATGCACTTTTTGTTTGCATAAACATTAAAAAATAAGGTCAATACAATTTTAGTATTACTTTTGTATTACTTACAATACTTGTAATACTCTGTAAACAAAAGAATAGCAAATGTATTATTATTACTGTTATTATTATTATTATTACTATTACTATTCTTATTCTTCTTATTATTATTATTACTGTTGTAATTATTATTATTATTATTAGTAGTAGTAGTAGTAGTAATAATTACAATAATTAGGGATTAAATCTCGACCAACTCTGAGATGGGTCTTAATGGAAAATGACTACTTCTAAGAAGTGCTGCACTTGGGGGATTTCTGTCCTAACTGCATTTGCAGCATTGTTGTGCCGTTGTGGCGCTGAACCCCTAATCAATACAGTGCACCAGGAAAAAGCCAAAATCACAGAGGAATTGCATGACCGCGCTGTGAGCTGCAGACAGTGTAGAACTCACACAGCGTGTCTTCACCTGTGGAGCTGCTTCTCTAAAAGCATTTTAAAACTAAAACATAACTTAAAATTAACGCGCATCTGAGCTGCGGCAGCAACACTCCTAAAGTTTAATCTCTGAAACTCTGCTTTTCCTAAAAGCGGCACACAGCGTTTACTCGCGAGGTCCCGTCTCAAAGCACACTATCTTCCCTACGCAGTGCACTTCGTGGATCATGAAATAGCAAATCCTTCACCCAAAGAGTGCGTGAAATGTTCGAGTCAGTCATCTATAATCAACATTAACAACAGGTTACAAACTCCTTGTTTAAAACTCAGCTGCTTGTTAATGATGATCGTGTTTGTTTGAAAAGTAGCGCACTACGTAGGGGACATTGAGTGATTTGAGACGGTGTTATTCTCCTCTCAGACAGTAAACACTGCACGCGAGACGAGAAAGGGGATCTGTGCAGATTGAACTTTTGCAGCGTCTCGTTCCGGAGCTTGTGTGACTGTTAACTCAGAGCTCATTTTGGAGACTCTGCTCCACAGAAATGTGTGTTACAAGCTTTAGTTTCAATTCACAGCTGATTCACCGATTGTTCTTTTTTTTGACGCTAAAAGCTTCATTTGACATTATTAACGAACCATAAGAAAAAGTTAAAACACACAAACCGTGACATTTCTTCTATTTCGAAGTCCCCACAGACCCCTACGTTAAAGTTAACCTTGCATTCTCTAAAAAGTAGCGGGTGGTGGTCGCGAAATGACTCGTAAGGTTTGATGTGTTGCCCCCTTTCGCCACTATTTTCTTTCGGCCTGTTCTGCAGACAGGGTGGTCATCTTCAATTAACTTTCCTTCTGCATTCTTATAAAACCCAAAATATGACCAAACGTCAGACTTGGTCTTCTTAGAAGGCTGAAATATCTCCGAATCTCCGAGTTTTTCACACCACGGTAATCGACCGCGGTTTTAACGATACTGTAAAGTTCAAACGGTACTATTAACCGTCATTAATTTTACCGCGGTTTACCGTGAAACCGGTAACCGTTTCATCTCTAGTGCAGATGTTTTGTTGAATAGTTAAGTCACTCTCCACACAGGAGAGCAGCATTCAAGCCCGGCACAGGGAAGCACTTGCTTCCAAGGTGTGAAATACAGGGTGTCTTGTGGGGTCCAAATTAACCTCTTGGACCCCCTAAAAGTCTCAAAATCAAAATTCTAAAGGGGTTCCTGAAAACAAACTTACTATGATGTTATGCTTTTTGTCAGGTTAAAATTGACACTCAAATACAGATTCAGGGAAAGGTAATTGCTTAGCTGCTTCACCCACAATCAGTGTGCTTTTGTCTTTGGTGTTCTTAACTAACTATAGCTGCAGCACTGGTCTGCCTCAAGGTGGTGTTCTAGTAAATTCTGTTGTTTTGTAGCCTAGCAAGAGTAACTATGCCCAGGCTGCCACTGATGAACTTTACAATATACCATTGCATGTTGATTGTTCCTACCGATGTAACTGTGTCATTTTGGTGCTGCGTGTCTGAGGGTAATTTGATCTGTTCTATGATCGCAGCCCTTAATGACATGTTTCTTACAGAAACCCATATCGCGATAATGATATAATGATAAAGCGATTAATTGTGCAGCCTTACTTACTGCTCAGATAATTGGTTAACAACTTTAATTTTCTCAGATGGCCTAAGACCTATATATTAAGTACTAAGGCCATGCTTAACTGAATTCTTTAAACTTGTTTTATCTTTGTTCAGAATCTATTTTGGCATGTTTTTGATGCCTGGTTTAATTTGTGGGCTTGGCGAGATTTAGTAGCTTTGGGGTAGCAAGTCTTTAAAGTGTTTAAAGCATGTGTTTTTTTCAGGCAACACACAGCTATACCAAGTGAGAGGTTCTTTCAACCTCATTTTTCTCTCTCACCAAACAAAGCTACATAATTTATTGGTGATTTTGCTTAAACATAGTTTCCTGATATTTGTATATATGATTTTTTTTTTTTACAGTTGACTCTGGAAGGCAACCCATTGTACTTCAGAGCTACACACAGAACCACAACTGTCTGCCACCTCTCACCACGAGCTGCTTTCCGAGGAGTAAGTCACTGTGTGTGTCTGTGTGCTTGTGTGTTAAATGTAGTTTATGTGCTGTATGTTTTGCTGCTGTTTTCTCCAGACATGTACAATGCAGACAATTATTTAGACAGTGATACTTTTTGTCACTTTAGCTCTGTACTCCAGCTCACTACATTTGACATTAAACAAAGACTATGGTATTAAAGTGCAGAATGTTTGTTTATATTCAAGAATATTTGCATTTACAGTGGAAAAACTTTGTTAGAATTATAATCTGTATAGTTGACGCATACAGTAATGCACCCATTTCCGGGGCATGCGCAATTTGTATAAATTATCTCACATAAACAATCTTGTATAAAATGATCATGTTTAGTGGGCAGTTTGATTGCAAATCTTGTGCAGTCTGCAACCCATACACTTCAGGGAATGCTGTGTATCTTGCCTAGTGATGCTTTGCCACTGCTGTAATGCAAACATTTTCAGGTCCTGCTTGTTTTAGGGACTTTTTGTCTTTCATCATGTCTTCAGCAGGCGAAATACATGCTCAGTTGGGTTCTAGCATATCACCGTGTTTCGTGAATGAGTTGATCACTTTTTATAATGAGCAGATCATTTTTATTTCTCATTTTGTTACTCTGGTACAGGTCAAACTTCATCTCAAGTTTTTAGTAAACTGTAACTTGCGTCATCTTGAGATCACAGATGCTATATCTGGAATCAACTCTAAACCTTTTGTCTCTTGTGCTGGGTGGCACTGTGTATAAATAGGATTGTTATTTTTGTATGGTTTCGTCGAATATATATCATTGCTGTCAGAACAAAACCTTTTGTCTCCAGAATGTTAACAGGTGAAGGAAAAGTGTCTTAACATTTAATGGAATTTAATGAAGCAAGATTTTTTTAAGGTGTATGTTTAACACTCAAGCAATGTAAAGGATAGCTAGCATTTTCAAGTGATTCACAAAATTACAAACATCAAAAATGGGGAGACAAAGCTTTGACCTGACAAAAATGATATGTAAGTCTCAAATTAAATCTGATAATCTGCACTATAACCTCACAATCATTGTTAAATTCAAATGTAGTGAGCCTTATTCATCCAGGTTTGCAAACTCTGATTCACATTTGCAAAATACCTGTTGACAGTGTTCACACAGAATTACCTAGAGGGACAGGGATTCATGTGTGTGCAATTACTATTATCATTATTATTTTGTATTTGTATTGTTTTTACTTATTGTTGAAGAATTTGGATGATTTGAGACTACGCAACTTTAGTAACCCATGACCTGATTAGTGACTTTAAACATTCACACAGTGAAACAGCCAGTTCATGAAATTTTTGCCCTGCTAGATCTGTCCTGGTCAACTGTAAGTGCTATTTTTAGTGAAATGGAAGCATCTAATGGCAGAATCAGCCCACAAAGTGGAAGTCCATGCAAACTCATATAGTGGGGCCAGTAAGTGCTGAAGTGCATTGTGTGTAAATATCATCTGTGCTCTGTTGCATCACTAACTAAAGAGTTCCAAACTGCCTCTGGAAGCACATTCAGCACAAGAACAGCACTTTGGGAGCTTCATGAAATGGGTTTCCATGGCCGAGCAGCTGCACACAGGCCTAAGATCACTGTGTGCAATCCCAAACATTGACTGGAGTGCCACTGACCTCTGTAGCAGTGGAAATGTGTCCATCCTCTGCAGTGATAAACCACACTTCACGTCTAATGGATGAATCTGGGTTTGATGGTTTTGCCGGGAGAATACTACCTACTAGAATGCTTAGTGCCAACAGTAACGTTTGGTGGAGGAGGGAAAATAATCTGGGGCTGTTTTTCAGGGTTTGGTCTAGGCCACTTAGTTCCGCTAAAGGGTAATGTTAATGCAACAGCATACAAATATATTTTAGACAATTATATGCTTCCAACTTTGTGGCAATAGTTAGGGGAAGGCCCAGAGCCCTGACCTTAACCCCACTGAACGCTTTTGGGATGAACTGAGTTGATTGTAAGTCAAGCCTTCTTGTCCAACATTAGTGCCTGACCTCTGGGTACAAATTGTAACTCACACGCTCCAAAATCTTGTGGAAAACTTTCCCAGGAGAGGCCAGGGGGCCAACTCCTTATATGTCTATGGTTTTGGAATAGGATGTCCAACTACCTCATATAGGTGTGGTGGTCAGATGTACACATACTTTTGGTAATATAGTGTATGATACAGGTTATTGTCATATAGTGTGTGTTACAGATTATTGTCAGTCAAGCCAGTTGTCAGCTTTGCTCAACCTTGATGAAAACGTTTTCAATCAGGTCATAGGTTTTGTTTTGTTTTTATTTGTTTTTCTCCTAGCTACAATTGGATGGTTCCGTATTGTCTTCTTCTGAGCTTGCGGTGAGTATTCATCCTTATTTTGCTCTTTTATACCTGTTCACAGTTTCTTTGAAGGCCAGCCATGCAGTGACTTGAATACATCTGTTTGCACTTCTTAAAGTATACACCTTTAGGCCAAGAAAGTAATATAGGAAAATGAGAGTGTTTAACATTATAAATTTAACATTGTCCAAACCATTTGGAGAAATGTTGGAACAGTAGGTAAAAAGCAAATAAAAACAGAAAGCAGTGAAGAAAATAGTACCAAGACAGGATATGTACCTTATCAGCATCATTGTTTGTTTTGGTAAATATACATTCATTTTGAAACAGTTCTAAAGTAGTTGGGATGGGGCGATTTAATACTAGAGCTCAGTTTCTGTTCTTTATTTTTTAACTTGCCCTCATCTACTTCGACTCACCACTTGAATGCGTGTCATACTTTTTCAAGAAAACTCACTTGTCCTTGGTAGGTTAGCATCAGTAAGCTAAATGGCTGGCAAACTTTACAATGCCAAACGGTTTTTAATACCTTTGAGCATTACATATGTAACATGTAATTGCTTTATCTGGCTTTCAATGTGGAGTAGAACAGTGGTGAAATGCCTTTCTTTTTGTGCTTGTTAACTGTGTAGCCTCTAATGTGCTAACTAGCCAGTTAGCAGAGTAGAGTCATGAAGTTGTATCAGCAGGCATGTATTTAGATGGAGTAAGTTGTTACTTAAAGCCCAGTAAATTGAATGTTATAGTTTCGAAACGTTAAGCAAGTAGTTTTTCCCTCAGCTTAGAAACAGCTTTGTCTGCCATTGTTTTCGGGTTTGAAAAATGTTTTTCTGTACATAGTATACATAGTAATATTTTCTGGGTTAGATTCACTCGATTCCTCATCTAGCACCCTTTACTTGAGCTAATAAAGTAATGGCTCTAGGGGTTTTCTCAGAGGGGAAATGATGAGGCTCAGTTGATGAGGGCTTGTTAAAACAGTTGTTGAAATGGGGTAGTAACATTGTGACATGTTCAAAAACCTCTTGAACAGGTGATGCAATCATGCTTTATATTACAATCATGTGATGCAATCATGCTTTATATTACTATATATACTATGTATAGAAAACTACTGAGCACCCAGGAAAGGTCCTTCATGAACAAGGATGTTCAAGGCTCGATTACAGAAGCATGCCGATTTTGCCTATTATCTCCATTACAGAAGCATGCCATTTTTTTATGCAGTGCGGTCTGAGGGGTTGAATCACAAGCATTTATTTGTGGTCTTTGACACACAGAGATTTCTCCTGCTTCCTTGAATATTTGGACAATACAGTGCACTCTAGAGGGTGAAATACCTAAAAGCCTTGCAATCCCTGACCAAGGAAAAAGCCCACATGGCTGCATAATCAGAGAGTGCAGGTGCTAAAATAGATTGCCAGAGTCCAGACCTGTCTCACATTGAAAACACATCTTATTAAGCTCAAAATACAAGAACAAAGACCCTGTTCAGTTGTACAACTGAAAACCTATATAGCAGAAGAATGGCAACAACAATACACTTTCAAAACTAGATCAGTTTGTGTCTTCACTCCCCAAACAGTTATTAAGTGTTGCTAACGGTAAAGGTGATGTCACACAGTGCTAAACGTGCTCCTGTCTCAACTTTTTTGGAATGTGTTGCGGCATCAAATTTAGAATAGGAGTATATTTGCAAAAAACAAAGAAGTTCATGAGGTAAAAAGGTTTCACAACTTTTTTGGAATTGGGTTTGTAGATTACATTCTAACAGATATGTTACTATACATACAAGAGTAGTGTAGGTTATATGTCCAATTGACATCTTGACAGAAACTCCTTCAATGGTAGACATATAGGACATTGATCATTTCAGTCTGTAAGTATAGGTTTTTCGAGTGGCTGTGTTTTTTTAAAAAGGGAACTATACGTGTTTAAGTGGAATGTTCTAAAAAACACGGTAATTCCCCCGTTGCCCTGAGGTTTTATCTTTATATTTGGGTATCACTCTGCAGGTCTTGCCAAAACCTGGGCAACTGATGGGTCAGACATCCCTGATGCAACAAGTCACCACAACACCTGACCAGACTGTACAGGAAGTGTCAAGCGGAGGTGGGGAGTTGAGTGACAGCCTGTCTGTTGGCGATTCGGGAGTAACCAGAGTCATGAGGAAGAAATCCAGGGTGAGACTGTGTCCTAAAAGCCGTCAGTGCACTCTTGTTGCACTGTACTATTTCTAAATTTTTTTATGACACAATGTGGCAGTTCTAGGGAGTAAACAAACAATAGTCCTATGTGTTCTCCCTAGTTCATCACTTCTAAAAATTCTCTGGCAACATCGCTTACAGCAGCTTATAACGCTGTTCATTACTAAAGTAGGTTATCCACAAAGCTGACTAATGCTGTGTTTATTAGTGGAAAACAGCTAAGGTTAATGAGTGGTTGAACTATAGCATTTATCTAATTAATGAAGTCAGCTTTTTGTTCAAATTTTCCTGTTCCACTTTAGATGCTCCAGCAGTTACATTCTGGCGCCTCACGCTACGTTATCTTTTCCAAAATGGACAGTAGCCGTGTCACTGTTTACATGGTCTGTGAGGAATGAAGGAGATCTTATTGCACTTGAAGCCACTGGGCTCGTTTCTGCTTCGTCTCATGTGGAGCTGCATCTCCAAATTCACCTCAGACTTGAGTTACGGAGATCTGAGCCACGAGTGAAAGTTTTAGCTCCTTAAATGAGGTGGAGAAATTCTCTGTTCTCCTTTCACTTTTCCAAAGTGAAAAGCATCCTACACAAATTCAGAGTTTGCCCATTTTGAGAGAAGTATAGGACTCAAAGATATTCTGCCAGTTTTTTGATGAAACAATTTGACGAAATTCCCAACATTTGATGCGAATATTTCATGTTTTCGTGTCGTTTTTTGTGCCATGTTTAGCATGTAACAGCATTGACACACAATGTTCAGATGATTAATCTGCTTAATCATTAAATTCTTTAAACTATAATATGATGGATGTTGCTGTTCATAACACGAAAGTGTATATTCCCAAAGTTGCAAGCTTATGTTTTTTTAAACTGCATTATGACATGTTATCTTGGAGAGGACTCTAACTACACATAAAAGTGTTAGGGAAAATCATAATAATATTGGCTGCTATATCAGATGTTGAAATCCTCAATCATCGAAATCACTATCAGTGTTACAAATCCTACATCGGTCAGGTTTTAGTTTTCACCTGTCAAAACGGACCAAACTAGTTTGATAGGTTGATAGATCTGCACTTTACAAGATATATATAAAAAAAGCACTTACAGTCTGTATGTTCTGAGTCTTTTCATAATGAAGAGTCATGATTTCAATCTGCACATTTGAATACTGACAGCTCAAATGGTTAACCAAGTGCTTGAGTACTCATGAAAATCCTAGATAAAACATTAATGGTATTTATGAAAATCAAACATTTTTATATTGATGTGTAGAAAATTCGGAAAATTCCTACTTCAGCAGTTTGCATTTTACTTGCTGGCCGTGATGCTTTGATGAAATCTAACCATCCACTTGTATTGGCATAAGGATAGGAAAGGAGAGGTAGCTAGCTAGCTTTTGAAATTACGGAAAGTTTGAGAAAGTATTAACCTGCAATTATATGGGGGAAAACATATCATGATGAGGCCTTTGACCATATTGGCAGGCTTCATTTAATTATTTTGTCTCATGTAGGCTCATATCTGTTCGCAGAATAAGGTAAAGGTGAGGAGGGCTAGTATCTCAGAGCCCAGCGATACAGACCATGAATCTAGACCAACTGCTTTACGAGGTAAGTATTGAAGATGTGCCATTTGGGCCATGTGTGATTGGATATTTCTGTTCATGTTTCTTCTCTTTTCCCTAGATATTGTTCTGCACCATCAGAAGGACATTGAGAGGATGGACAGCTTTCGGGAGCAAATGGGGGAGGACTGGCTGCGCTACCAGCATCATCTTGATGGGTCGCCGACGCCTGTGACTGGCCCAAGAGTGGAAAGAGTCACAGCGCAGGTGATCGCCAACAACTGCTGTACCACTTCCCCCACTGCACTCAGAGGCAGTTCTCCCTCACTGAGGCTAGAGTCCCTACCTGCACCACTGCTCTCCTCAGAGCTCAAAGGGGAAGAAGAGGAGATGGAGAGTACAGACCTCCAACCTGAGACTGAGTCTACCCTGCAGTGGACAGGTCATAGCCCTTTGAATACAGAGTCTACACTGGAGACAAGTATAGGAGACCCCCAGGCTCCAGATAAGGCATTGGCTGACCCTTCACCTCCAGAAGAGGAAGAGGAAGACCTTGGAGGTCTGTCTGACATTTAATCATAATTATTGTTTTCTTGTTTGTCAAAGTATTATTTAAACATCTATAATGCTGCAACAAATATTCAGTTGTAAAATTTAGAATTAAAATAATCAAAAATTAAAAAGCCATTCAAATAACAGCCGTAAGCGATTAAGATGCTGTTTCTGCTCTCTGCCAGCACTCCCTGCTGTTCAGAATCAAATCAGGGTTCATGCAGTAGTGCCGAACTGTAATAATTAAACCAACAATAAAATTACAAAAAAATCTGTTCAGTTATATCTGTTCTTATTGTTAGAGAATATTAAAAATAATATTTAATAGCATATTCAAAAATTATAATATTCGATAGTTGCAGAAAAAGATCTGTCCGTTTCTGTAGTTTTAAGATACAAATTAGAAAAATTCAGTCATGTTTTATCATCGCAAGTGTCTATTAAACATTGCTGTAATTCTGCAGTAGAAGTCCTGTGAAAGTCATGTGTTGGGCTTTAGATGGCAGTATTGAATTTTTTTTTACCTGTTTCTTCTATCTGCTCCCATAGTGGACCTCTGTAGGCCTATGCTGGTAGGGGTGCTATCTGGGGATGAGGAGCCTGCCAGGAGGAAGGCCTCGGAGCCGTTCTTCTTGCGAGTCCGCCAGGGTCACATTCTGGAGGTGGACATGCACCAGGGCCGAGTCAGGAACCGTTTGGAGCTGGACAGCCTGCGGCAGGTCACTGCCTCGCAGGCCACCTGGATGGAGAAGGTCAGATCTCGGCTCGCCTGGACAGCGGTCACATCCTCCTCAGTAGCGTGATTCTCAGTTCATTTAACAGATCATCTCTTTATTCCAATGTCAGAACAGCCTAATTTTATCTCTCAGCCTCAGTCTTTTTCTCTCCATTCTTGTGTTCCTTAGTTTACTCATAGCAGTACTACACTGCCAAAGCATTGAAATTGCATTGTAGCATTACATCTCTCTTTCTCTCTCTCTTTCTCTGTCTCTCTCTTTCTCGCTTTGTTAGGAAGAAGAGAGGTCTCACCCAGCTCTAGAGTTGCACTTCAGCTACATCAGTCGGGAAAGACAGAAACGGCGGTACATCATGTTGGATGATGACCCCCAGCAAGCTTTGCAGGTCTGTTTAAGTCTTTTACACATCACTCAAGCTCCCCACCGTCCCTTCCATGATTATAGCAGCAGACCAAGCTATGTTAGATCTATTGTACATTATTATTATCATTATTATTACTATTATTATTTTGTTTGTTTGTTTTCTTCTTTCTTTAATAGGTTAATATGTTAATAGGTTAAGGTTAGTATAGCCAATATAATGACCAGTGCCATTATTTTTATTATTATTTTTATAAGACTTTTTAAGGGTAATGCCAAGACAACCATTTTATTGATATAATTTCACAAAAGGTCATCCTGGGACATCTAATTTGTATATTAACAATGGCAAAAACAACAAAAAGACAAGAGCAGATACATAAAAAGATGAACACAAAGCTCATAAGAACTAAACCTTCTGGTCAGAATTAAAGGCATTTAAGACATCCATCAAACATAATAAGTGTAATGTTATAAAAATGGAAAAAACAAACATAAAATATTCTGCACATTATAATTAAGAAAGATTTCAATATTATTAAATAAATATTAAATGTAAATAGTATATATTCAATAGTAAAAAGCATATATGAGAAAACACTATTACAACAACTTAGGCATTAGAAAGACTTTGACTGAATTACTTTGCAAATAGCTGACAGTAATAATGTAAAAATAAAGAGTTCTTAAGCATCAGAGTAGTCCTGTCCAGTAGTCCAGGGGCCTGATGCTGTTATTAATGGGTTGTTTTTCTCAGGCTCTGGCCGAGGTGCTCTCGAGGGTAGTGGAGGAGAACAAGCGGCAGGTGGAAGAGGGAAAGCCGCAGGGCATGCGACTGCAGTGTCTGAAGTGCCGGGCCGAGTTCTCCCAGCCTGCAGTTGAAAGCCTGGCCAGTACTTTGTCTCAGGGACATCAAGATGAAATAGGGTCAGAGAGAGAACGCAGTCCAGGTAAGAAGAAAGACAGTTTACCGTATCCATGCCCTGTGGTAGAGGGTGTGGACTGTCCTTCACATGCATTCCAGGGACAAATGCAAACATGTTTGCCCTTCTAAAGCAAGGCTGATCAGCAATGCAGGAATAAGCATGTGGTTCTGACCTCCATCTCCAAAAACGCTGCCAGAATTTTATCCCAAGGTGCCATATTTCCTACAGAGGTACAATTTGCCATCATGCTGTGGCAGGGCTAGGCGCATAAAGATATGAATCATACTATTCTTGTTGAAACATGACAGCAGCTCCATTTGATCTGCTTGTAAGGAACATTGTGCACTGAAGTCATGGGGAATACACACAGTCATGTTATAAACAGTTTTCTGCACTTTATTTGTATTTATGTATAATATACAGTACTTTGCAAAAGTCAGAGACCAACCTTCTATTCAATTTCAAGTCAGAACATACAAGTTATTTATATTTCACTGTCTGGAAATAAAGCAGAAAACACAGAAGCCTCAGCAAATAAGTGTATGTTTTTTTAAGTGTTTAGTTTGTCCACACTCTCCCTGTATTAGTTTCCGTTCTCTTTGGGAGACTTGCTTTTAGTTCTTCAAAGAAATCTGCAGGGATGCTTTTACATTTCTTCTTCTCCAGATCCAAGCATTGCATTCAGTAATGTAGACACTCTGGTGGCATGTCCCAAAGGGTATTGCACGATGTATTAAAACTTTTTTTATACATCCTCAGACTTGTGCTGATCCTCTACCATATTTGACTGATGCTGGTACACATGATTTGAAGAGTCCTTCATTCAGCAGCATGCATACCTCCACCTGTTACTTCCAAAGGTCTCAAATTTAGACTCACCAGTCTTTAAAACCTTTTTTTTGTCCATATTCTTTTTTTCAGTAATGGCATCTTCATAGCTACAAATTCTTTCAGACATAGCGTTATCTTCTTACTGTGGAAGGCTGGACAGAAACAGCTGTGGATTTTTTCATATCTGAATCAAGAGTGGAGCTTGATTTTCTCCTCTCTCTCAAAGATGAAAGTACAGTTTTTCTGATAGTGACAGTTTTGGTGGTCTACAAGGTCACGCATGGTTGTTGAGTCCAATTTTCTCTATGTCTTGCAATCACTTTTTGCACTACAGTTTTTGAAATTCCACTTTTTTCACTTGCCTTCTTTGCCCTTACTTATGCAAGTGGATTATCTTCTAAATGATCTCAGAAATATCTCCTTCAGCCATTTTAGATGCACATTATAGAGAAATTTGCAGGGCAGCTAATGGGAATTTGGGTAGTTTAGGCAGAAGGGTGCACAGTAAAGAGAGGACAGATGCTGATTTGATATACTCAGTATTGGAAGCTTCTTCTTTTTTTTATTTTTTTTTTCTGACACTGAACAATAAATAACATGTACTTACTGGACATTCTTTGCCTGTAAATAAAAGGGTGGTCTCTGATTTGTAGCATACAGATCTTTGTCCTGCTCAAAAGTTATTAAAATATGCATTAAAATGTGCTTTGAGATGCATGTCAGGGGATTCGTAAGCCATTTATTCAGCTGTATTGTGCCTGTTTATTTGACTTCCAGCTGCTGTCTTTGGCCAAACGCATACCTTTTCCTGCATGGGGCAGGGATGAGCGAGATTGTTTGTTATCAGAGCTTTAGAGGCTTAAAGGCCCAGTGGAGACTATACATGTTCCTGTAGAGGTTGTGAGCATGAAGGGCTCTGAGATATCACAAGGCATAGCTGTTAGTTCTTTTGATGTCTTTTTGATCTCAGAGTGTAGAATATCAACAGCAACCTTATCCTCATTTCAGACACATGTGGATGACTTTTAACATTCTTTTTTGTTTTCGCCAGGAGCTGAAAAGATTTGGATAGAATTGTCAGTGGTAACCTGTAATCATCATTAAGGAAGTTTATAATAAGTGTAATAAAATGTATGAAAAGCCAGATGAGTGCTGCCTAAGATGTCACTTTTTTTTTGTCTTGAGGAGATGGCGTTTTCTGCCCCGAATGCAACAGTGATCACGTGGTCCAGCTGGCTAATCAAGCAGTTCCCTCCACTAGTACACCAGTCCACTGTGGCTTTGGCGAGAATGGCAACAGATGCTTCAACTTTGATGACACAGACACACCTGTTCTTCCTCATCTACCCCCCAATGTAAATTAACACAGATTAGAGAAATGACAATGCATGTTCAATGCTTTTGTTTGTGACATACATTACTTTTGGTATTTGCATGGCCATGCTTACCAGTACCTATTCCACTTCCAGTCTCTGAGCCAGGATGAAGCTTTGTTGTCTCATGACAGCCCCCTGTATGTGACCCAGGCCTCCACACTGCATGACGTGGCCACAGACACTTTCTTCACTGCCCAAAGTGGTCTCTCCAACATCACTACCAGTCAGAACGAGGTTTGGGTCAGTCAGTCCTTCAGCTCAGCTGAAAACCAGGCACAGCGTGACCCGGAAGGCCAAGAGAGTGAGCTGGCAGGAAGTGGCAATGTCCCCCAGAGCACACAAGCATCCAGCCATGGTGGGTACTGGGGAATGATATAGCTGGGGTATGGTTACAGTGGGCAAACAGCAGGAGGTATTTACTGAGACTAAAATCTGCTAGCATTAGAAGATGGATCTTTCCTTTGATTAGTAATGACTGTTTAAGATGGAATGTTGTGGCACATAAGAGGCCAGTAAACGACACAATGATGAGCAGACTGAGAAAATTACAGACCTTACTGTCATCTCTCCTCCCTATCATTATGGCAGCCATGTCAAGGGAATGTTAGACCACATTGTCTGGCTGAGTTTCAGGGGTGTCTTAGTGTTACCAAGAAATTGAATCACATTTTTTTCATTACAGCGAAGTCTTTGTCATACACAGATGGGCATCATTTCCATCCATTAAAAAGTTGGACTTGAAAAAGACAAGTTTGTTTAACCTTTACAGGCAGATAGCTGCAAGACATGCAGTTATTGTTTGGGGCAAACAAAATGAGCATACCATCTTTGAACTCACTGATCTTCGCTGGGTGCTATGTAAACAGTCAAAATGATAGGGAAGTTGCATTATTATTATTATTATTATCATTATTAATATGGAGGAAAATTGTGAAAACAAGTGTAAATGTACAATAAAAAACAGTGTATGGGATAAAACAGTAAAAACTCATTTAGTCACATTCTGAAAGTTACCACCACAGCACACTGTGCTACATACTCTCATGGATTTTGGTGCACCATAATAGGCCTAGTCTGAGTATTTTGTAACCATATTAAGTACACACCATTAAAACAGCATCTTATGTGGTTTTACTCGCAGGATGTGTCTAAGGGATGGTGATATAAAAATAAATCAGTAAATAAATAGTTTTGTGTGTTTTGGTTATGGTCATTGTCCCAGTGGCATCAAATGAGATCTTTGTATGTTTCAGCTCCTTTTGACCTGTTATCGGAAGATTTTGAGGCTGTGGACCACCGGCTGAAACTCTTCTTGGATGTAGAAGTGTTTGAAGGAGAAGAAGAGATTCACTGCTTCCTAAAAGTGAGTAGACTGACTCCTTACATATACAGCAGGGGTGGGCATTATAAACTGAAATTTATATGATATCATTTTTCAATTATTTACCTCTCTGTAACGTAAAGTTACAGTGATGTGCATAAATCAGAGACCACCTTTCAGTTATTTCAATCAAAACTGCCATTATGTACAAGTTTTGTGCACGTCTTTCTCAAATGCATCTAAATTGGCTAAAGTAGATATTTCTGAATAGACTAAATATTAAATAATCTGTTTGTATAAAGGTGAAAGTAAAAAGAAAATAAGTGAATTAACAGAACTTTCCAAAAACTAATGTTTCGAAAAAAGGGGGTGTCTAACAACCATGCAAGACCTGGTAGACCACCAAAACTGCCAACTTCAGATAAATAGTCCTTGAAGCTTTCATCTCTGTGAGAGAAGGAAAATGGACAAAAAATACTTACAGAACTAAGAAGGGTTGCAAAAACCTAAGAATAATTTGCAACATGTATTTATTTAAACAGTTGTTGCTGAATTATTTGCAATAGTATATATATATATATATATATATACTATTGCAAATAATTCAGCAACAACTGTTTAAATAAATACATGTTGCATATATATATATATATATATATATATATTTACCCAAACAAAGAATCTTCCTTTTTCAAAAGTTCATATCTCCACTAGTTTTCACTTTCTTGCAACCAGATTTTGATTCTGTGAAGTGTTAATATAGTTTTATCACATCTAAAAGTTATTTGGTCCTGAGTGCCACAAATATTGCTAAATATAGCTTCCAAGCTGAATCCCACTTTTTAGGATATTTTGACCATATTTACCCAAGAAGGATCATTTGAATGCCGCTCACAGACTGCTTATAGACGTGAATTAATCTGTATTACGTGAAGAGGCCTGTTGTTGCAAGATATTTTGGAATTTGGTATGCTGGCATACTTTGACATACTTTTACAAGATGTTCTGCATTTTGGCATACCAAGAGCCTGCATCAGCAGGGCATGGGTATAGCTAAAGAGGCCATGCTTAAAGCCACCTAAACCTATGGGGCATAGGTATGGCTGAAAATGGCATGCTTAGAGGCCCCAGTAATAGGCCTACGTATAGCTGAAGAACCCAGATGGACTGGCATTCAGATATGCTTGTTGTGGGGAAGTCTGTCAGTAATGCTTAGACATATCTTGAGGTGTATCTGTTGTTGTCTCTGATATTGACATATGTCCTAACCCATGATAAGAATGGAGGGGGTCGGTCTTTGACGCCAGACACCACTGCTGAGTCTTCTGGAGGTGTCATGGGCTTAATTCCCTGAGACACTGACAAAGGCAGGTGCATACTTGACTTTGTTGTTGTTGTTGTTGTTGTTGTTGTTAGTATTGTCCAGTACCCATGTAATGGCCATAGTGCACCCTGTTGTTTTATACCTAGGCTAGGTTGTTAGGTAAGAGTACTTGCATCTGTGAGTTAACGTAATTTTATAGCCAGCTGAAAAGTATTAAAAATTATTTTTTAAAAAATTATGAAATGATGGAGTAATTTAATTTTTTATGTGTCTGCAATGAATATTAATACCTTCCCATAAAAAAGTTTAAAGCACATTCAAATAATCCTTCTTGGGAAAATATCTTAAAAAGTGGGGGTTCATCTCGGAAGCTACATTTAGGAAGATATGTAGCACTTCATTTTTTGTGCAGGACCAAATAACTTCTAGATGTGACAGAACTATTTGGTTGCAAGAAAATGAAAACTAACGGAAATATTATTTTTTGAAAATTGAAGATTCTTCGTTGGGGTAAAAAATATTTATTTTTTAAATCTAAATACCGTGAAACATTCAGCAACCACTATTTACATGAATACATGTTGCAAATTAGGCTTTCTTGTATGTTAAATACAAGTTTCAGCCCAATCCAGCAAAAAATCAGCAATTGGTGAGGCTTAAAGTGCACATACAAAAAATCACAAACATTATGGAATAGGGCCAAACTTCAAAAATGTATTACTAAAAAAAAATCCTTCAAGTGGAGCTATTGGTTTTTGCATGGGCCCATGAATTTGACAAAAGTTTTCGCATTTTTTTAAGGAAATCCATGACATGAACTAGGAGGGCTGGGTGAGTTGGTATGGATTGACTCCACTGCAAGAAAGAGGGTGTTTTTAATGATTATTTTAATGATTGAATAACATTTTTTTATTTGTTTATTTTTTATTTGTATCGTTATTCATTATTGTTACTATTACGGTTATAATTTTTATTAGTGGTGTTTGTTATTTTTATTGTTTATTGTTAATTAGATTGTTTTTGCATGATTGCTGTTAATTTATAAGTTATAAGAAAATTTTTTAGTGACTTATTTTCATTGAGCGAGGGGGTGGCTATTTCCATGACATGAACTAGGAGCGCTGGGTGAGTTGGTATGGATTGACTCCACTGCAAGCAAGAGGGTGTGAGGTGAATGTGCTTAGAAGCCTTTTGTAATTTAGTGTTGATCCTACCTGAGTCTTGCTGGGCCTTCACCTTTGAGGAAAAAAAGCGGCCTTATCTACACAGCCCCCTCCTGGCTACTCACCGCTGGGAGAGGTGTATTAGTTTCCCCTAGAGCCAACTGGCTTTATCCAGAGAACTAGTCAAGTAATAAATTCCACAGCAGAAAGTGAGCTTTCATTCAGTTGAAGGACTCTGCTCTCTACTAGCCTTAACTTATCTGGAAGCCTTTTAAAGCTTCACATAGCCCTGTCCTACACTTTCACATGCATCTTTCTTTCTTCTAACAGTCATATAAAGTAGTAAGTACACTCTTGCTTTTTAGACCTAGGCCTGATGATACCACACACTCCAGTAACAAAGAACAAACCACACCAGATATCTGAGGTTTAAATAAGTCAGGTTCCTCCTAGATATTCTCTAACAATGTACTAGCCATTAGTTCCTGTTTGGGTGCAACTAATACCAATTTGGAGTCCTGATATATATGTACTTACTTTGTGTTTCTTTTATTTCAGGTATATAAAGGAAAACAAAGTTGTTCCTTTTAAGTGTCACATGTTAAATTATATCACCTTTATTTATCAGCATCATAAGACCATATCTGTTTGTCCAAATAGGTTGAAACTAAACTTTTCTTGGAGTGTACTTACTTCTTTCTTTGCATTATAAACATACACTGGTGTTCGAAACTTTGTAAATAAAATACAGTGGTTATCTGTTCACACATTTATTTTTGTCATGTTATCTGATCGATTTTTGATCACATTTGAAATACGTTCTCAATGTTCATTTTGTTAAAACTTCATTTTACCAGATTAGAATAATTGTGTACGTTTGTCTGTAACCAATTTGGTTTAATAGTGTTGAAAACATTAAAAAAGTGATTTGAAACTTTTGAACAATGATTCTGTGCTCGGATTGTTGTTTCAATTTATGTTTCTCTTTATGTACAGGAGCAACTACATATATGCTAATTTTCTAGCTTCTCTTGCATTCCAGATGTCTGCTGTGAAGTTTGGAGATCCAACAGAGTTCCCATCTCTCATGGTTGTAACTGACCAACGTATCTACATCCTAGAAATGACCTGTCAGTCAGAGTAAGCTGCTACTGTGATGCCACATATCCAAAATATAACAAATTAAAGTGATTGAAACAAATATTTCACTGCAGAATAGAAGCATGTATAGTTCACCAAAGTACTGATCTGATCTATACCAAAGCCTCACACAAACATTTCCAAACTCACTGCACCATGGGTTTTTTCACTGTCAGCAGAACAGATTTACTGGAATAATTCATGAAAACCAGCTATTCTGTAATTTTGGAGCATGTAATTCACAAAAGCAGTTTGGGTTCGATAAGTAAGTGAGACGTCAAGAGGCAGAAGAATGCGGTTTTTCCTCCCTCACATCTGGCTCTGCCTAGACATTTCCAAGCACTATCAACTCTGATCTCTTCTTGGATTTTGCCACATTTACATTACATTTATGGCATTTAGCGAAAGCTTTCATCCAGAGCGACTTACAGAAATCCTTTACTGTCCTATGCTAGCTAATACCAATAGGTTCAAATTTTACCACATTGACACATTACCTTGTGCTTGACTGCTGAATATGAGGCACTCTCTGTTTAACAATATAAGAATATTTCACTGAATAATAATAATGTTATACCCATGCAGGTGCTAAACTCAGCTGTAATAATCTTATTAAGCTCAGTGCAGTTAAAATTTTCTTTCTGCTCCAAGAAAGATGGTTTGCTTGCACACTTTTGTTTACTTTTCTGAAATAAATGCAGTGGAGAACAGCTAGCTAGCAATACAGGGCAGTAGGAAAAGCATTTGCATTGCACACTGCACTGTGTTCTTATACAGACAGTTACGAGCGGAGTCTAGACAGCCCTAACTCTAAAAACTGCCAAACTGTCATTGTAGCTATGACAGGAAAGCACCAGTTTACTGACATGAAAAAAGTATCATCCTAAATCGCTGTGTTTTTGTGACATGCAAGCTGATTATCTTGCTTTCTTTAAATGAGCAGCTGAGAGCTATAAGAGCAACTGTAAGAGGTGATAAACAAGAACCAAAAAGTAAACCATTTTGGGTAGCTTCAGAGCTACAATATATTATTTAAGACTGTGAGTTTTTGTTGTGTAGTTCAGTTTAAGAAGTATGATAATTGGGAACTGGCAGTCATATTTGTATCATAGCATATCTAAAGTGCTGTTTTACTAAAACTATTGAGGTATAAAATTACACTCTGTAATATAAGTATAAAATTACAAAGGCCAATCATATTAGTTACAACATTTTTATCACAAATTTTTCATATTGGTCTGGCCCTAGTATCCCGGGCCTGATCTCATTATTTGTACAGACCACATGACCAGGGTCACTTGTAATGAATTGGAAAAAAATGAAAAAGGTTTTGCGCAGGTGGGGCAGGCCTCAAGTTTTGCTGTTTCCAGTAACACCTTATTCATGCGGTGTTCTGATTAAGGTTTATAGCTGTTGGTTAGTGAACTGTCATTAATGCATTCTGAAATGTTTGTCTCTTATATTACGGCTTTGTCAGTGTGACAGAGCAGAGACGGCTAAAGGCATGAAGTGTTGCGCACACACAATATTACATAATCACATTTCTATTAGCCAGTGCGGTTGCTCACTAGCAGGGCATACAATAGAAAGATTTTCTTAAAAACAGTAAATGTTTTAATTACGTTTTTACTGAGTGCATTCATACTTTGTATTAACACAAAGGTAAAGACTCATTACCAAATGTCTTCTGCCTCGTCTCTCCATGTCTTGCTGCAGTGGGCAGCCCTCAGACTGGCTGCAGAAGAGGTACAGCCATCAGTTATGTGAGCTGAGATACCTGGATGTGGGCCTTGGGTCTCAGACTATCCACATGGAGTTTGATGAGGGTTCTGCTGCATACACATTGTTGGTTCGAGACAGCGCCCGATGCAAACGCTTCTTTAGCCGATTAACAGGCAAGAGCTCGTACACGTGCACGCGATGAATACATTTACACATTCTTACATGCATCACCATCAGTACCTATATAAATGTATGTGTGTGTGTGTGTGTGTGTGCGCGTGTGTTTGAAACATCTCAGATATGTAAGCATAGTGATACTTATCCATATAACACTAGTTGACAATAGGGCATCGCAAACCCTCAAAACTTTGTTGTAGTTACTGCTAGCAGTGGATGAAGGGGGAACACCTGAAATAAGTGCCAGAGGAGATTTTCTAATGTAACTCTATAACTCCCGGCAAACTGCAGAATCCAGGATTCTCTACAACCAGCTGTTTATTAGAAGTTGTAAATTACCACATTACCATTGGACCGTCCTCATCTTTGGGCTTAGGTTTTCTGACTAACTGAGAAATCCTGCTTTGTGGATTACCCCCCAGGTGTTACTATGGGAATCCGATACTCCCACAATGCCGTTGCGGAAGTCCACTGTCAGAGTTCAGTCTACCACTCGTTGTCCTTCATTGTCGTTCTCGACTGGGAAACCGAAGTGTTCCCAAACAGGAGTTCATGTTGCTATTCCTCATCATTTCAAGCAGCTTGGCTATTCAACCATCCAAGGTAGACAAAGTTGAAGTTAGCTTCTTATTTGAATTTTCTTCTGGCAGTGGAAGAATTTGGAAATACCTCCCAGTATTTAAAGCCTGTAAATTACTGTTCAGGCCAGCTCTATTACCTATTAATATAAAAAGAATTGGTTTAATATTAACCGGTATATTAAATGTACCAATTTTTTGTTAAATTAGGTTAGGAACTTTGGTACACGTGAGTGAACGTCTAGTCATGAAAACCTTAGAAATGATCTCCCATGTCTGTATCCACAAGATTGAGACTGTGCCTCCACGTCACATATTAAAACAGAATTTACAGTGTTATAAACGATTGAATGAGTGTTCAAGAAGGACAGATTAGATTGACTGTGCTATCAGTGTTCCTCTCTGAGCTGACCAGATTGTACATCCAGTGACATTATGCTATCTGACTGTTTAGATCTATTCATTGAGATGTTCTGCACAGTAGATTACTGTTGCACACATGCATTTTTGCTGATATTGTGTTTTCATAACAAGCTACTAGATTCTATAATTATGACTCTATGCAGTGCACAGCACATTATTGCTATGTATTGTATTCTACAGTGAGCATTTTTACCAGGAAGGTGCCTAGAGTTTGTCCATTGCCTCAGTTAGGGATGGGCAATATGGCAGTACTCAGTTACATGCAAGAGTTCAAACACTCCTGGTGAAATGACATGTTGATTTTCGAAGTGAAAATTAGTTTACACATCCTGTACAGAGAGCATACTTCTGCACATCTTAATGCACATTTGTTTACTTGCTGAATTTAACATATTTGAAAACAAAATAAAATGTTATGTGGCCTTTGCAAAAAAAAAAGTGTGGTTTTATTTTTTCCCAGTATGTTAAACTTAACAAATAAACTGTGTGCATTAAATTTCGCAGGAAAAAATCCATATTTAAGTTTGTTCCATGTAGAGTGTTAAGTGTTAACTTCACTTAGAAAGTCAACAAAACATGTAATTTGACCTGGGGTGTTCAAACTTTTGCATACAACTGTACTATCATAATCATAAATAATTACATCACTATATATGCTTTTCTGACTATATCATATGTCATTTTCATGCATGTGTACTCCTGTTTTGTTGGATTTAGTGCAGTACAATATATAAAACCATTGTACTCCTAGTTGATACTCCTTTGTTAATTACAACACTACTGGTGTATTTTGCCTGATCCAACTCATCAAACCTCTGAAAAAATCAAATATTTGTCATGCACATTATGGATCGTGAAAATGTGGTGTGATATTATATTTTTGCCTTATTGCCCACCTTTAGCCTCAATACCCAAACTGTTCCTTGCATCAGAACAGTCATACAGCATAACTCAGATAAGGTGTAACCACCAAAGAGTATATCAAGCTGTTAAGATTTGTGTTAGTACAGTGAAATACATACTTATACATAACAGAATTTCTGTTAAGAACTTCTAGAACAGTTTGGTTAAATGTCTTGCGAGGCTAGTATAATCAATCCTTGTGTTAGAACACACCACAACAGTGGTTTTGTGGTTCCGAAGTGGAACTTCAAGCCTCAGAACAATTTAACCACAACAAATCAAACCTTTTCCAGTACTCTTGCATGAATTCACATCTATTGGTTCACTTTTCCCCACTGGAACAATTAAGAATGTCTTAAAATATCCCTTTTCCTTGTGGGAAGGAGAGGTATGAAAGCTGCAGGATTACATGATACTTTGCCTTATGTGTTATAGACAAACTATGAATTGTTGGGTGCAAACTGCCTTTACCATTTCCCAGATACCTTGCTGTCAGGGAAAGAAACCAGAAACAAGTGGCTTCTCCTTGGTATGCACAGATTAAGCACAGTTTGCAAACTTCAAGCTGCTTATCATGTGTAAATTAGTGGAAAAAAATGGTGTTTATTTAGTTCTTCTGGACAGCTGTAAAAATATTTGTCTCAGTGAAGAACTGAAGGATACCTTTACCATAACAAAGCCCATTCCTCAAACCATACAGACCAAACGCTGTTGAGCAAATGGAAGGCCAGCTGAGCGCTGCTTCGCATGCTGGAGCCATCCAGGGTGCAGGGGCTGCTGAAAGGCCCCTAGGTTGTGGTTTTCCACCGAATGGGAAATGGTATTGGAGCCAGTTGGCAATGTTCACAGTCAGCTGTGGTTTTGCAGCGCTGTAAAATGACCTACTGCTGTAAAAAGGGAGATCTGCTCGCGGTAAATCCCCTTTTTTGCTCTGTGTAAGTCATTTAGGGTCAAGACTACACCAAGCTGAATGGTGACTCAGGATTTTTTGGCCCCTCTGTAAAGTAGCAACTGTTTCAAACCTTGAAGTCTGTTTTTACTTAGAGTAAATCAATATCATCTTTGTTTTATCTTATTATTTAGAGTATCACACGAATAGATGCATGTTTGTTTCCATAGCAATAAAAGGCATGTCTGAAGAAGAAAAGGTCATTTTGAAGCAAGTGGCAAATCTTACCCTGTTACCATGTTTGGAATGACGCAAATTGCCTACCCTCAAGGAGAGGGTGGCTCTGGTGTTTTCTTGAGGATTCAGTAAGTGAGCCAGCCGCTGCCAGGCTCGTGGCCAGGTGTGAGTGTTTTTACCTTTCATTCATGTTTCATCCTGTAGGTGGATTAAGTGTACATTATGTGCCTTGCTTCACTGGCATAGTCCTTTAAAACTGGACCTTAATGTGGAAGACTGTCCAAATATTATGAAAGATTGACTTAGATGCTCCTTTCATCTTTAAAAAAAAGTCCTAATGGAGACTTGGAGGGTGTTAACCTTCACCAAATTTCACCTGGATCCATGTATATCTTAAAAAAAATAATAAATAGGACCTCAAAGCCTTTAGCAGGACTGCTGTGATTTCACATGCTGATAGTTCTCTACCCCAGTCCTAACCTGTGAGGACTGGATGAGACTGGCCTGAGCCCAAGGAAACACAGATCCTTTAAACTGAAGTGGTGGTTACATTACACCACATACTGTGATTTAGCCAGAGTGATGTGAGTCTCAAAGGTCAAGTGGACAAGAAGACAACACAGTTCGTACAGTGCTCAAAAGTAATCTTGGGACACCTCTATCATTACGTGTTCTTTTAGAATGATTTGATTTGTTAAAGTATCATGCAGAGTGTTCTTTGTCATATTGAAAAGTACATAATTTCAGCAATTTTACAAGTTCTCACTGAATACACTAAGTCCAACTGAACAATAGCCAACTAAAACAACTTTTATATAACCCCGCATTTTACTTACAAAAATGTTGGGACACTAATCCAAATGCAGACACATGTCATATTCAATCCAGAGATCTCCAACATTATTCCTGGAAAGCCACCATCCAACACACCTGACTCAAAGTTTTGTTAACATTCTGAAAGATTTTGCTTTAGATTTGAATATTGAGTTAATTTGTCAAAAACATTGTCTTTTGTTAATGAAATGTCTTTGGTAAAAAATTGCAGATACATTGTAAATTCCAAAATCACGTTTGAAAAATTAACTGAAGTCTTGGAAAGAAACAGGGAGACTTCAACACCTGCCACACTCTGGCCATCCAAAAGAGAAAATCCAACAAGTCTGTTTGAGCATCAGTTTTGCAAACTGATGCAGTCCATGTTTAGAAGACCATTCAAAAGAAGGCATATACAAAACTAAATAAAGAATGTACTACACTAAATAAGATACTAAATAGTAATAATAATCTTTATTTATAGCACCACTCCTGCCAGTGGCAGCTCAAAGTGCTTTACAGACATGTGATAAAGCTTAACAGCAATAGAAGAAATTATGATCATATGAGAAATCATATGAGACAATGACAGATCAAATTAAAAAGATAAATAGCAAGAGACATTTTAATTAAATGCTAAGTTAAAGAGATGTGTTTTAAATGTTTCTTTAAAGTGTGCACTGACTGTCTAATAAAAGGTGGAATTAAGTTCCACAGTTTAGAAACATAATAACTAAGAGGCCTCTCTATGTTTTCTGTATTGTGCTAGGTCATTTAGAGTCTTAAAACTAGTAGCAGAACTTTAAAATCTATTCTGCAAGATACAGATAGCCAGTGTATTTCTTTCAAAGCAGGAGCGAAATTAGCTCTCTTTTTTTGTTTTTGTTAGTATACGTGCTGCTGCATATAGTATTGAGTTGTAGAGGAAGTATTGTTTTTTTAGGAAGCCAGGTAGAGGAGCATTACAATAATAACTCATTACAATAATAAAGCATTACTATAATAAAATAAATTTTGTGACTTCCACTGAGGAATATCTGACACAGTTGGTAAGCCTGTCTAGAGAGTCTTGATTATCAGAAAGATTTGAAAAGTATAATTGTGTGTCGTCAGCATAGCTATGAAAATTTGTGTTGTTTCCTAATGACATTACCTACAGATTACATGTACAAAGAGAAAAGCAAAGGCCCTAAAACTGAACCTTGTGGGACTCCACAAAAAATGTTACTTTTTTTTTTTTTTGAAGGGCCTACCAGTATTCAAGACTATAGGAATAGAATCTTGTGATCAACAGTATCAAAAGCTGCACTAAGATCCAATAAGACCAGAATAGAAAGATTTTGTGCATCAGCGCTAAGCCTGAGGTCATTAACAACATGAACCATTGCTGCCTCAGTACTATGGTTAGAACGAAAATCTGATTGAAACTTCTCATATAACTTGTTTGTTATTAGATACGCATTTTATTGTTTTAAAACAGCTTTTTTTTAAGATTTCACTTAAAATCTGAAGTAAATACTGAAGTAAGTACTAATCTACATAAAGTAACAGGGACACCTGAAACAAACATTAGTGTCACCTCAGGGACGCTAATATTCATCTATCTATTATCTTATTAATGTTTGGGTACTTTTACTTGCTTTACTTAGGTTTTCAATTATTACCAGGATTATTTTGAGTTTCAGTTCAAACCTGGTCATTATTTCTGGTTGTCAAAAAAAAATAGTAAAATAACATAAAATAAAAAATAAACCAGAAAATTGTTGTATTTAGAGACTGTCCCACGACTACTTCTGATTACTGTACTATACTTTCTTAATCTTATGAAGACAATGCCGGGCTATAGTGTTCTAGACCTATTTCCTCTGTAGGGTAATGAATGCAGATGAAAGATGATCTTTCTGTGTCAGGTGAATGCTCTCTAGTCAGAGATTACCTGTTCTGTTTTACAGCAGCTGTAGTGCTATCCTTAGTGCTATCCTTAACAAAGTGTCTTTTTTTCAAGGTATCCTAGAACTACAACATGCTAGTTGTTTTAAAACTACAACCCTAATCTGATATGGAATGTTTCATGCTTTTTCATGCCATTTCCTGAAATTCTATTCAGGAATATTCATTTCTTTGTCATACCAACAATGCTTCAGTGGTGATTTTCTACTACATGCGTGTCAGAATGATTCTTTACAAAGAGAAACAAAAGCAGGTAGAATCATGTAATGCAAATAAAAATGACCTCGACTGTAATTGTATTCCTTCTCTATTGTTAGGAATCTCTGTGTTCTGAAAAACTGTGGCCAAAAAAGAGATCAGTTACCTTTTTTTTTGAGTTTGTCACGTTATCAGTTTTGTTTGGGGATGACTCTTTGCCGATTGTGGCACGAATCAGGCAGTTTTGAACAGTATATCTCTGTTGAATAAACAATGTTCTGTGTCTGAGTGCCATGTACTGCCCACACAGGTTTTTCTTGGGATATTTAAGCCAGCAAGTATTATTTTACAACAGCAAATGTTATTTCACTGAAGTTTCATTTCACCAGTGGTGGAAAGAGTCCTGAAAAACCCTATAGTAGTGATAATACACTTCAGTAAAAGCATTTATAATGAAAATTAGTCAAGTAAGTCTAAATAAGTTACTTATTGAAAAACTTTACAGAAGTTAAAAAAAATAATAAGAAGAAAACATATAAGCAACAGCTTTAGGTTTAATAAAGAGCTTCTGTGCTTGTTTTTGTAAAATGACAAGTAATAAAAGACCACGGTAGTTATTTAGCTTTAAGATTAGCCAGCCAGCTAATTACTTCATCAGGTTGGAAGCTGAGCTGTGAAAAGTGAAGTTTTTACTATGATTAGTTAATAATTAGTTAATAAATTAGTTAATAAAGTTAAAACACTTGGATCCCTTTATTAGAAACTCAGTCAAAAGTAAATTATAGCAGTTTGTATCTACTCAAGGCACGTTGTTATGGGGAAAATTTAGTCAAGTACCATAACGAGAGTAGTTACTTTCCGTCTCTGTATTTCACCCTAATGAAACCAGTCTTATTGACAATAGGGTCCTGAAAACATCATACAAATAAAATGCAGAGTGCACTATCAGATTCATTTCTAAAATCCATTCAAAACTAGAAGTGCCTAAAAAAAATAATTGCTTAAAATAAGTCATTTTTCTAACTGTCAACCATAATGAAATATAAGGCAGGAGTTTTGTTGAAGGGTCATAGTGATGAATCATGGGTCTATGGGTAATAGAGAACCCATTGAAGAGGTCTGTAATTTGCCTTCATCAATTATTCTCTTTCTTCCCATAAAGGAATAGCAAGGGAACTGGCCCCAAAATCTGACAGTAAACTTAAGGGCATCTCAACCACACGGCTAAATCCCAAACACCATCTTTGGTACGTAAAAGAAATCTCTTAGTTTTTGTCCTCTCTATCATGTCTCTCTCCCTCTTTCTCCCTTTTTCCCCTTTTTCCCTGTTACCCTTTCTCTCTTTCCCATCACCTTGTGCCTTTTAACCTTTTAATTGCACACATCTGGAATCACAGATGAAACATGTGTATGAGGGGCAATAAAAACTTCGCCCCATTTGTTTCAGCACTGTAGTCCCTCATTTGCTAAATTGCTTGGTTGAACCACATGGTAATGTATTTCGTCTGTTGGGTACTAATGAGTGTCAGATGAATGCTCTCTGTTCAAAGATCACAGGCCACTGCTCTCTTTCACAACCACCACACTTTATGGCCAAAAGTATGTTGAACACCTGACTAAAATACCTGCATGTTCCAGTTGAGAATTTCTGCTTTTGAATGCTGACTTTGGCCAACAGTATAACATAACTTTGTCATGGGTAGGGTTCCTGGGTTAACTAAGAAAGTAAAATATTTTTCTGCCTAGTGTCATGTATAAACATCTTGTATAGGAGTGGTCACTTCTGGCGTGGTACTGGTTTCATTGAGTAGTTACTGAATGTCAAAAAATGATAGAAAACATTGCCCTCTCTGGCATCAAACCAAAATTAACCTGAAGACAGTTTTTGGCACAATCCAAGTAGCCAGCGAGAGTGTCCAACACCACCAAAAACAACTTACCAGACACCATTCTTGGCAGCAGTATTCTTTCCTCTGTCTCTGAATGGCTGCACTGGAGTTCTTAACGAACCCACCATGCTATCATCAGATGAATTTCGGTGTCTGTGGGCAGTGTTTTATGGTTCACACTGGCTCAGCAAGTCATTCAGTGAGCACTCATGTCCTCTTAATGGAAAACAGTAGAAGAGATGATTATTGTTAGGATAGAAATTTAGCCGTTGTCAATTTGCAGCAGCTAGCTACATTATATGGTCAATATTATGTGGACACTTCACCATCATACCCATATAAGCTTGTCCCATTCCAAAAGTATAGGCATTAATATGGAGTTGCTGCCCCTGCTACCTCTAGTGGTTATTAGTGTCTCTACTCTTCTTTAAAGGTTTGCCACAAGGTTTTGGAGTGTGCCTGAATTTCTGCCCCTTTAAGTCAAGAGAGCATTTGTGAGGTACTGTTGGCACTGATGTTGGGTGAGAAGGCCTGGCTCACAGTCAGTCTAACACAAGGTGTAAAGTAGGGTTGAGGTCAGGGCTCTTTGCAGTCCAGTTCCTTCACACCAAACTCATCAAACCATGTCTGTATGGACCTCACTTTGTGTGGAGGGGATAATAAACATTAGCATTACCCTTCGCTGGAAGTAAGGGCATAGCCCAAACCGTGGTAAACCCCAGAGCCCCAGACCATTATCCCTCCTCCTCCAAACTATGCATTCTGGTAGGTAGTGTTCTCCTGGCATAGTGATTTAGGGTTGTGGGCAGTTACTTGGCCATGGAAAACTATTTCTTGAAGCTCCCGAAACACAGTTCTTGTGTTGATGTTGCTTCCAGTTTGATGTTGCTGCAGTCAGTTTGGAACTCTCTAGTGAGTGATGCAACAGAGGACAGGTGATTTTTAAGCTCTGTGTGCTTCAGCAGTGTGCAGTCCCACTCTGTAAGTTTGCATGGTCTGCCCTTTTGTGTCTGGGCTCTCTATAGAAATTGCATCACTATGTGATTGACTTTATACACCTGTTAGCAATGGGTGTGGCTGAAACACAACTCAGTAGTTTTGAGGGGTGTCCACATACTTTTGGCCATATAGTGTGTTGTGCTATCTTTAACTTGCCTTTTGCTGCAAGGTTTTTTTGTTTTTTTTTTATCCTAGGTATAGAATTTGTCAGTAGTTTTAAAGCTACAACCGTACCCTGACTTGGAAGGTTTCATACAGCTGTGTAGATATTGACCTGTGCTATATTTTTTTCCAGTCTTTTTTAATATATGTAGTCCTGCATTCATTTATTGCTGAATCAAGCTTCTTCACTGATGCTCATTTTTATGTGTTTGTAATCTCTTTCTGGGCATCTGACAGGCCTCTGGTTTGTGAGGGTAGCGAACCGTTCTCAGAGGAAGACAGCCATCCACCATTCTTTTACCTGCTGGCATTCCTCCAGCTAGGTGAGTGTTCATGACCAAAATGTGAGGACTATATGCTTTTGCCAGCATCTGGAGTAAAACTGAGCTTTCTTATAAATCGGAGGAAACAGCATTGAAGAATGTAGACTATGGTAATTGCAGCATGTAGTGACTCGCCTCTGGCAAGTTGCAGCTGAAAGAGTTGCAGTCTCCAAGTAGAAGGCTTAACAGTAGGACTGGACAATATTTTGGAAAAGTCACATTGTGATATTTTGCTTTTGTGATAAATATTGCAGTATTTGAATATTTGAATACTATTGCTCTCAGCAGTGGTGCTAATTATTGTGATCTATGCCTTTTTCTATGTCTTTGATATTCCCTGTACACCATGCTTAGAGTGACTTATGGACAGAACGTCTGGCAAAGTGTAAAAAGACAATACCCTCACATAGAGTCATATAAATACACACATAAATTGCAAATAATTTTCATTGTTGGGATGCTTGAATCCTTTTGCACCAGTGTTTGGAAACCTGGGAACTACTTTAATCAGAGGATTCTATTTTTAGCCTACCCTAATTGCACTAATAAAAAAATTCACTTAAACGTTTGAATTGTGTGTACACTGACAGCCAAAACCACAAAGTGCACGCCATGACTTAGCAATGTTTAAGAAAGAAGTGTAGAAATTAGGGCTGGGCAGTAAAATGATAACAATAATTAACGTGATATAACTTTCCTCGATAAAAATATAAGAAATGTTCGATAAATGTTCAATATAATATACCATTCTCCTATGTCAGCGTTCTAGCGTCAACCCTTGTGGTAACGCACTTCCAAGTTTTTTGACATGATTCAACGAGGGAGGTTGTGGGAACTAAAATGGGTCACCAAGTATACTTAGGCGCAAGTGTCTGAAATGTGGGGTTATGCCTTCCCTGTTTGAGTGGAGCAACTGGTGGTCTGTTTTCCTGTTGCCAAGTGTGAGTGATAAAACGAGTGGCATACAACTGTACTTGCCTAGAGCAAACTCACTTCTGTCCTAACATCCTAACAAGCAAGTAGTGATGAAACAAGACAAAAAAGATGGACCTTAGTGGCATTAACTGCAATGTGATTCTCTCACACCAAACAGCATCCTCCTTTTAGGTACAACGTTGTTTGTCTGGTGCGAGAGAATCGCAATGCAGGTAGTGCCAGCAAGTCTTTCACACAGCAAGCGTCAGACATATTGCAGTTCCTCCACCCCTTAAACTACTACGACAGCATAGAGAAATCCAAATGTCTGCTAGCTTGTGTTTGAATACTGTGATATGCTCTGACATGGATGCGGTAGGAGTGATGGCAGTAGGGCGTTGTGATTCATCATTGATGTACCAAGCCAGCTAATGTTTGCAGTACGTACTAAGCTGACATTGTTGAGAAACTAAAGAGTTTAGCACCTGTAACCAGATAGCCTAACAAAAAAATAATCTGTTTTCTTTTTAAATTATGAATATTACAAAAATCACGGTCGTGCTGTGAGTGTGAGAGTGCTGCTTCAACCACCTGGTTAAAACAGCTAATCTGAGAAATGTTTTCCTGTTAGCCCATGACAGATTTGCAAAATTGTTCTCTGTTTGGCAAGTGTTTGTCATGTTCTGAACCTAAAGAATAGTTTAAAACTATAATTAACCACCTGGTTTCTTCAACTTTCACTCAGGTGCGAAAATCAGCCTTTAAACTTAATAATGATTTGACATTTATTGTGATAATTATCGATATCGACTGAAATGAATTTTTTATTGTTAATGACATGTTTAGCCATATCACCCAGCCCTAGTAGAAATGCATTAAATCACTGAGGTTTAACCTAAAAAGCACTATGGTAAGACTTATTTCTGCTAGTGACCCTTGTATTTTCACCATAGAGTGTTTAACCAAGGGTTAGCTCACCGCTGTTTGGATTTTGATGTCAGCTGTAGTTTAAATACAGACAGTTTAAGCTTATAATAGACATGAAAAATGACAGAATTTACTTTGCAAGTTTCAGTATTACGTTTAGTTCCATCTTTAAAGGGTTGAGCTCAAAGTCTGTCTTTTTTGGTTGCATTAGCCTCTTAGCTGGTTAGTGTTTTGGTGAGCTGCTCAGCCTACTCTAGTGAAAGCAGTCTGTGTCTAGTCATAAAGAGAACATATGGGTAAATCACTTATGTTAAACTGGCAAGTCATGATGTGGTTGGATTATATAGGCGTAGATTGCAACAATAACAACTGGGCTATTTCGTGGAGTCATTATGAAGCCGCAGTGTCATTTTTTGGTCTTTCTAAAGAGGTTTATCACTCAGCTGTAGTGACAGCTACAAACTGCACGTTGTCACTGAATATCTCAGAAACTTTTAATAGCACATAGGATGGTAAGTAGGTAACTTAAAGAGTAAGCACACTTTTTTTTTTTACTTTACTAAAAACAGTAGTGAACGACTTTTCCCTTCCCTCACGGATATTTTGGCCATAATGAAAAATGTGTTGGATATTAAACACATAAGTAGGGATAATATAGTGAACACATCCTTTACGGGGAACAAACATGACATATTTCAAAAATATGACATTTTTATGCTAAATTGGGTTCACATTTTTCTATGTATTTGTTGAGTTTAACAAATTTTAAAAATTGGATATAAAATACTTTGCCTGTGCATTTTGCACAGGCCAATTTTATGTTCTTTTATTTTACCCCAGTATGTCAACAAAATCATCATCTGAAGAGCATTTGTGTTTGGGCTCATTTGCATGTTGCATACTTTTATAATCAATACTGTGACAACAGATGCTGCTGTAAAGACTTTTTTCATATCTCGTTTGATTTTGTTGTTCTCAGAAGCTAAAATGAAACTAATTCCCTACCACATGGATTCATTACCTGCTGTTATACCCAACCACTGTGGGAACCAGCAGTACTTTAGGTGAACAGAACCCGTGTCCTCTAAACAGCAGAGGTGGTGTTCAACCCTGAGGGCACGCTTTTATTCCAGTCCAGTTGATTTCTTTGGAACGGGACACCCAGATCTGCATGGAGGAAGAGGCTCACAGTAAACAAAAAGCTCTATCTGACTCTTCCTGAGAGGGTGCTCTCACTGTGAAAAAGTGGCTCAGCTTTCAATTGGCCTGACGCCCCATGGACACCCGTCCTTCCCCCCAGCCGCCCGCCAGGCAGGCCTGGGAGTGGGCCGCAGGCATCAAGTCCTGAGCCTTCAGCGTCTGAGAGCAAGCCCAGCCAGAAACCTCCCACTGTGTTCGAAAAGAGACACAAGAACATCTCTCTCCCCCTGTCAAACCCTCCCTCTCACCCACTGCTTGGCTTTTTTCTCTCACTCATTTGTGGACACGTACTCTCACTCTGTCTCTTTCAGTCTCTTCCAATTTCTGTTCTGTTTCTGGCCTTAGATGTGGAAATAAAAAACTGTAAGGGAAAATGTTTTTCAACTTAAATACTTTTCAGGATGGTTTTTAAATGACCTTTTTTCATTCTAAAACATCAGAACCAAAGTACCAAAGAATGCCTGCATTTGTTAAGTGTTTTAAAACAACTAAACACAAAGTAGTTTTCTTATAATGGAGGGTGGGAAGCAACTAACATGATTCTACAGTGGCTACCTGCATTAGCCTATGAATGCAGCACACTGATTTTTTTAGGTGCACCTAACTTGTACCCACATTATTTGGCTGTATAATCAAGTACACCTATAGGTGCACTTGGTAGGTATACAGTTATTGCCTGTAGCACATGTTGCTATGCATCTATAAACGGTGGTCCTTTCTCAGCACAGCACTGACATCAACATGGAGGTGCCTGTACAAGTACCACTTTGCTAGTATACTTAGTAGCTGCTCTGTTAGGCACACCTACTTTTTTTTGTTAAAGGTTGTTTATGTACAGTACTGTGCAAAAGTCAGAGACCACTCTTTACTCATTTCATTTACATTTAAAAATGGCTAGTAAGTACAGGTTATTTTTATTTATTTATTTATTTTATACAGGAAATGTTACTGAAAGTCACCACCAAATAAACAGTACTTTCATCTGTGAGAGATATGAGAAAATCAGGCTCCACTCTTGCTTCAGATCTGAAAAAATCCAGTTTCCAAGTGTTTCTATCTATGCTTCCACCGTGAAAACTCAACTCAACTCAGTGGGTCTGAAAGGATGTATAGCTGTTGTTGAGGATTCTGTGTGACGTTTCTGTTAAATATGTTTTCTGCTCTTTTTCTCTGATGCTGAAACATTAGTAACTTGTACTTTATGGCTGTTTTGACTGAAAATTAAATAAATGAAGGATGGTCTCTGACTTGCACAGTACTGTATCATGTTGGTGTTACCACTGTGCCGAGAGTGGTCTCTCACCTAGATAATATCTGGTCAGTGGTGGTCCTACATTGGTTCATTCCATTAGTAAATTTGGTACAGTTTGGCTGACAAATTGTGCAAATTGTACAGTTGCTGATGGTAGCCCATCTGGTATGCAACAAATATCAACCTTCAGTAACTATATACCTACAGCATGCACTATATGGTAGGTGTAGTTAATAAAATGAGACAATGAGAGGAGCCACCTAAACTCACTGTATATCACAAACAGATTCAAATACAAAGAAGCTCTTGTAACACAGCAAGTGATGTAAGAGAGAGTGCTTTCCTGTGCATTTCTCTCAGGTGATGGTTTGACCTCTGTGACTGTACTGGCCACTCGAGAAATGCTGTGTCTCCTGGATGAAGACCACCAATGGAGCAAGAGCAACTCGGAGCCGACAGGCAGCAAGGAGGGACACATGTGCAGTGGGCGGGTCACAGTTCGCGAAATGCAGCCAATCAGTTGTGTCAGCTCCATCCGTCTGTTCTCATCTGATCCATGCCTGATGGAGATAAAACTTTATGATGAGGTGAGTTTGTGTTTCCTAAAACCAGAGGTTTCTGACTTCAGTTGGGCTGCATTTGCATTACCAGGCTGTGTAGACACGCAAATCTAAACATTTCAAATCAGATCTGAGCCACTTTCATATGTGATCCTAGACCAGATACATATACGATCAGTGGCCATGTGACCCTATTGAGAACAGTCAGATTGAAATTCATGTTCTTTCACTGCACAGACACATAGACACACCCTTTTCGCACTTCCATATTCGACACTGCAGAAGTCGTCATAGTAGGGAAAACATTACAGCAGCGGCAGCACTTGCAAATAAGAATATAGAGATAGTCCCGCTTTATATGTCTCTGATGTAGAGGACTCACTTATTTTAATGTCCATATTTCGGAATGTATCTAATTTTTCTACAAAGGTGTAATTCGTTTGGTGCAGCAGTTTTCATTTTCAGAGATGTGTAAGATTGACAAGGGCTACATGCTTTACCTTCAGAGAATTATCTGCTTGACCATGAAGGCATGTTAAGGACCTCATAAGTTACCCAGTGAGGTTAGCTAAAATTAGCTGTCTAATGTTTACTAGAATATAGTCATATACTGTTGTTCAGGTTGGTATTAAAGTTAGCGCAGTCAATTATACCTCATTGTCTGTTGGTTGTATTTTGTAATTTACCTTCACATTTTTACATTTTCCATTGTTTAATGTTAATGCTGTTTTTTTACAGTGTTCAGGGTTGTAAATGACCAGGTCACTGTTCCTTGGTAAGCTAACTGATATGATAATGTTCAATTACTTCCTTGTTTGAGCAGTGATATCGCTAATGCTAGGATGCTGATGTTAGCTTCTCATTTAAATTTTCTGTTCCACTTTAAACGGTGCAGCATTTAGGCACCAGATTGTAAATGTTTGAATTTGAAGGTGGAATAGAAATTCGCTGACACCAGAATACTGCACAATTTAAGGTGGAACAGAAACTTCATCCTCATACTTCGTCCTCATACTAGCCCTGTTTACTGTGCAGAAGCCTTAAAACATACCGATCGACACAATCGCCACACAGAACCCTGCAGCCAGTCCACACAGTTCACTGGATAATCTACATAACGTTGGATAAGGAAGGTAAAACCACTAATTTTTATTCTCCTGATCACAGACAGGTTTATACCTTCTTTAAATCTGTACCACTCACCTGTCCAGCACTGAAAAAGCATTAGTAGTAGTCAGTAGAAGTCAGTCTATTTTTAAAGAAGAACTTGTCAAGCTTGTTCATCTCTGAAAATGAAAACTACTCCACCTAACGAACGTTTTTTGTTGACAAATTAGGTAAAGTCCTTAGTAAGGATGTAAAAATGTGCAGGACATGTTCATTCTCATTTGTTTCATGCTCATTTATAAATGCCACATAAAAGAGGTCTATTTAAGTAGGGTGTGCACATGGGGGCTGTTTCAGGGCACAGGCTTGTGCACATTAACAATAGATTTGAGTCACTTAGACTACATTAATATCACAAGCCTCATTGCTCAATTCAGATTTTTGCACATATCTGATCTTTCTAATATGATGGTTCACATTCATGTAGGTGACTTAATGTGAATAAAGCTGTGTCGTGAAATGACTCGCATGCACACATCCTAGGCAGTAACGTCATATGAATGAACCACATGCGTCATTAACTTGCTTGTAACGTGAACATAGCCTAAGGCCTAAGACCACAATCCATGAGTCAGTTGAGAAAAGTTCAGACGCTTTCTAAAGCTTGCCGAACCTGATGTACAATCTAATGAAAACAAATGACATACGTATTTTGTTTTGTGTATTTGTGGTTGACAGATGGCTAAAGAGGAGCGGACCTGGCCTTTGAGAGCAGTGGCTGGCCAGGAGATACAAGGTTTAGTTGACTGGGTCAGAAGTCAGTGGGAGGCCATGTTTGGGGTCAAGCTGATTACTGCTATTCAGTAGTACCTCAGCTTATCCACTGTTGAACAATATTGCACTGCTGTCAATGCTTGCACATCAGTTTGTGTGTGCTCAGTCCATGTGGGTTTTCCGTAAGACTTTCAGTTTTTATCTATGCATATCTTATCAGCTGTTCATATTCTGTTTAGTAATGCTGCTTATTGTTATGTTAATTCACATTATTAGGAATGTTGTGGTAGTGTAGTGACCAAGTGCCTTATGTTGCCTTGTTGTCTGTGTGCGGAAGTTAAAGTGTTTTTTTAATTTCTCAGGGTGGAAAATCCTTTGTGCTTGTGATGTGTTTAAATAAGTTTACTTTTTGAGGGTGTTGACGCCAAGTTAAATGTAACATATCAAGACGCACAAATCATGTCACTAGATATCATTTTTGTGAATTCTTTTTACATGTTGGGCCTCTATATATGCAAATATACACCCGCCTTGTGTATGCCATATTTGCAGAATTAATCCTCGTAATGGAATGTGTAAGTTAAGGACCCCTGAGTGTTGAGTGTGTCCAGTACTTGTTTGTGTATATGATTTCAAGGACATGGTAAGAAAACCAGTAACTGCACTGCATCATGTTATTGTTTGGCTGATGACCAACTCATAGACTTTTTTTCCTATGACAGGACGCGCGTTGATCAAGATGCATCGTATATGTCATGTGCCATGTATATTTCTACGCTCATTCATCCTAACTGCACCTTTAAAAGCTTGTATTATTTCTGGATATGCACAGAGTTTGCTTGTTTTTATGAATGGAAAAATAGTATATGTTAAATACTGTCAAAATAAAAGTGTTTTTGGATGTGCTAGAAAGTCATAATGTACAGGCCTATTTATTAATTTATGTACCAGCTTTTTTGAAGGGAATCATGCAAAAAATGGCTTTTTATTTTTGCTATCTAAATAAACAATACCTATCTTGATCCAGTGTCTATATAGTCTTTCACTGTTTTGCAAATTTACTCATGGAAGAATTAATGGAGCTGAATGAGTAAGCCAGTGCAAGCCAGAACAAGCGCTTCTTCCATGAACGTGTCTCATTGTTCACAACACTTGGCCAACTTACAGTTTAACTCAACTATTGTTAATTCAATGTCTTATCAATAGGATCTTAACAATACAGTTATGCCTCATTGTGTTTTGCAACATTTCTCTTTCCTTTTTGTGTTTCCAATTGTATGTTCACAATGTTCTTCCTTCAGGTGTGTGGAACGTGTTGCTGACATTTGTTGTGCTGTGATGTTGCACTGAAATGTGCTTATAATGTTTTACCTTCAAACAGATGTAAGCTTCCTGTGCCTATATGAATCTTCATGGTCCATTAACCCAGCTTCTAACTAATAGTGAGACCTCTCAAAAAGCATCTGTATAGAGTGAAATATATGGACCAAATTTAGTGTAAATCTATCTTGTTTGGTATTCTAAATGAAAAAGTGCACAATATGCATCATGATATTTAGTTTTTCTTAACTTGTAATAAAAGTTAATGTAACATTTTTTTTTCTTCCAAATACTTTTGGACCATTTCTATTGGTCTGTTTATTAAAATTGAAATTTTAACACAATGCAAAGAGTAACTGGAGTTTTCAAATGCAGAATAAAAAAAACACAATAATGGACTATACAATTATACATATATACAGTGGTGCTTGAAAGTTTCAGAGTTTCTATGTGACCTAAATATGATCAGATCTACATGTAACTCATAACAATAGATAAGGAGAACTCAAATAACACAAAAAATATGTAGTTTTTCATTTATTTACTGAATTAATTTAATCTAACTTGTAAGTAACTTTAAATGTCTTTGTTGGCAAAAGTATGTGAACTTCTGCTTTCAGTAACTGGTTTGACCCCCCTTGAGCAGCAATGACTTCACCAAGTAGTCTGTGTAACTGTTGATCAGCCCTGCACACTGACTTGGAGGAATTTTGGCCCATTCCTCTTTACAGAACTGCTTCAACTGTGTTATGTTGGTGGGCTTTCTTGCATGAATTTCTTGATACAATCCAGACCTGATAGGTCCATCAAATGATGGCAAGTTGTCTGGGTCTATTAGCAGCAAAACAGCCCCAAACTGTGATGTTGCCACCACTGTGTTTCACAGTTAGCATGGGGTTCTTAAGCTAAAATGCAGTGTTAAGTTTTGCTAAACATAACATCTCTTATTTAGGCCATAAAGATACATTTTTGCCTCATCTGTTCTCATAACATTATTTCAGTACTCTTCTGGCTTATCCAAATGGTCTTCAGGAAAATGTAAATAAGCAGAAATGTTCTTCCTGGAGAGTAGGGGCTTTTTCCATGTTATCATGCCCATGCATACTGTTTTTGTTCAGTGTTTGCCTGATTATGGACTCATGAACACTGACATCAGCCAATATAAGAGAGGCTTGCAGATCCTTAGATGTTACCCTGGGTTTTTTGTGACCTCCCAGTATATTTTACACCTTAGTTTTCAAGTCATTTTTTTTTGGATGAGCGCTCCTAAGAAGTGTAACAGTGGTGTTGAATGTCCTCCATTTGTACATTTGTAGTGGATCGTTGAAGTCAGAAATAGCAAATAATTTTCGGAGAGCCTTAGAAATCTCATTTGACTGAGATATGGTATGCACTAACTAATGATGTTTCTAAATAGGGTACACCCTTAAAAAGATGGTTCTTCAAGGTTTCTTAGTAAAGACAATGGTGCTACATTCCTGAACATTCAAAGACCATTTACATGCTTAAAGGGTTCTTTGCACTGTGAAATGGTTCTTCAGATGTAACACCAAAAAGGGTTCTTCTATTGTTACAAGCTTGACAATGAAACAATAGCAGAACCCTTTGTGCTATATAGAACCTGTGTAGAAATTTAAAAATATTTGAACACATCAGTAAAATCACATTAATGATGTATTAACCTACTGATACAGGCAACTACCACAACAAATGGAAGCGCATAAGTAAACAAAGAGTAAAGCAGTAAATTGACCTTGACTTTGAGAAATGCACCATATCAATGAAACAAAGATACTGGAGGGTTGGGAAATAACTCACTGTAGACCTCTGCCCTTCACACAGTTTGCCTTGTCTTAGAACTCTCTGTACCCCAAGGTCAGGCTCAGATAATGTATCTTAAGTATCCTATTGTACCTTTTGCTGAGTAGATCTACAGTAGTTAAGGGGACATTCAGAGATGCATTTCAGAGAAAGCTGCTCATTTAATAGTTTGTTAAAGCATCACTGAAAAATGTATTATTGTACCATGCATATACATACATTCTTTGTGTGTTCTTTTTATTGTTGCAGATGTAGATGGATGATATCCTCCTCCGTTATTGTAGGCTTCAACATATAAGTCTCAAAGTTCCTGTCCTGTCCCTGCAAGCAAACATCTTTTTCCACATATACAGCCAACTCCAAAAGTATTGGCACCCCTCAAGAAACTGAGCGAAAACAATTACATAAAATAAAAAGCACATATGATGAGTTGAACGTTCCTCAAAATTGTTTGGAGAAATTGCTTATTTTACTTTAAGAATAGTGTATCCTTTCAAAATATATTTTATTGCTCATAGTCTCCGGGAATTCCATTGTGGTCTATGACCATTTTTTCCTAGGATAGATTTGAGGTCACACATATGAAAAATCCCTCTGTCATCCATCAACATGGTTAGAGATCCATCAATATCATTTACAAGTACAAGTACATCATCTACAAGTTCTTTGGTACTTGCCAATACCAACACCATAATGAATAATTAACTTAGAATACAGTAATTGTTAGTGTAGGTGTTAGTGTAAATGAGTGTAATGTACCAGCTAAATCATTAAAATCTTAATTTTAAATAAAGTAAATTAGCTAATGTAAACTACCTTGGATTGATTAGCATTGCAGTGGAGAAGTGTGGGTTTTGTTCCACATCAGTAAGATGCTTCTGTAAAACTGTAAGTAAAGTACATTTCATAGTTTTGATCCTCATCAGTCTTTTTCATTGAACATCTGAACAGCCTCCGAAGACAGCTCTGTCTATGGACAATTTTCAATAAAGTTATTTTATTCAAAACAACACGGTTTCCCTCGAGTACTGAGAAAACATGCTGAGAAACATATCTATAGCAGCTTTGCTAACTTGTGTCACACTGTGCACTGAAATTAAAACCAGGCGGTGATGTACATAGGTAGGACAGTATGATCTTTCTACAGCCTGTTGTACAAAGGTAATTTTAAAAGATCAACATATTAATGTTTATACCTCACAATTCTATTCAGTCAAACTGCGTCCACTTGAAAACTAAAATCACAGTACAGGGTGATTTTAAAAGAATTATCTGATTTCAAAATTATTTATTTCACTTGTAAATCATTACAGAAAAATGCAGTACATTGTAAATGGTTTAAGTGAGCATAAAGTTTATTATGTAATTTTACAAGTGCTCAATATGACCTGCTCCAGCTGTACAGACAACATCAACACCATAGTCAAATTCATCCCATACTCGATAGAGCAAGTCGGGTGTCACTGTACTCACGGCTCTTTCAGTGTGATTTCAGAGATCATCCAGTGTTGTGGAACCAACGACGAATGCTCTGAGCTGTTGGAGGTTCACTGGCGACAAATATCATGTTGCACAGCTATGATGGATTCACTCTTATTGAAGTGGAGAACGCAAAACACTTCCTGCACCTCGCAGAGTGAAGGGAGCCATTTTGAAAAGCATGAAACAGTTGAAATCTTTGCCAGGAAGAAGATGTGTAACCATACTGCCCCTACGTACAGTGAGAAGGATGGAAAAAGAGGACCCCAAAGATGATATAATGGTATAATGAATGCAAGATAATGACACCAAACACACATCAAAATCCACACTATTGGTTGCTGGAGCACAAAATCAAACTTTTGCAATGGCCCTCTCAATCTCCAGATTTGTGCCTAATTGAAAACCTGTGGTGTATTTTGAAGTGGGCAGCACACAAGTAAGGCCTCAAGAATATCAAGCAACTGGAAGTGTTCTGCATGAAGGAGTGGTCCAAGATCCCTCAACAAGTGTCCTCCAACCTTGTTAAGCAGTACAGAAATGGGCTCAGTTCTGTTATGTCTCACCAGGGAATATTGCCAACATTTTTTTTTTCAAAATAAAAAGTGCTACCAAAAAGAAAATTATTTGGTTCCAAAACACAGTGTAAAAATAAAACAAATATGCAGTTTAACCATTTGTTCAAGCCCGAGATATCACTCATAACATGTCTGCTTTATTACATATATAGATTTTAGCGCATTTAATGCCAAGAATTCTAGAGTTGACTGTAAAGGAAAAGAATTAATAGTGCAGGTTAAGATGGCATATCGGTGTCAATGAATTTCAGTATCAGGCCAATTTCAGCAGAAAATGTTTGTTTGGGTATTGGAAGGGAAAAACAGACATAATAGAAAACATTATTTTTCTAATAAAATCAGTATTAATCATAATATAGCACTGATATTTCTTGTATGTATAAAGCCCACTCCCAACAATGTATAAAAAAAACATTCTTGGATGCAGTCTAGACTGCATTTTAGAATGAAACCCTTCAAATCTATAGTTAATAGATACTAACTCACATTGTGTGGTGTGATGTGATGTTGTTAGCTGCGAATTTCTACGTTATGGTAGGTCGTGCTGTCCCGGCATCTGCAAACAAAGATTCATCCATCAGACTGCCAGATATTGAAACATGATTCATCACTTCAGAGAATGTTTCCAAGTCCAGTTGCAACATGCTTTATACTCTCCAGCCAACACTTGGCATTGCGCATAGTGCCCTTAGGCTTTTGTGCAGCTGCTCAGCATTGGAAACTCATTTCATGAAGCTCACGACATGCAGTTCTTGTGCTGATGTTGCTTCCAGAGACAGTTTGTAACTCTGTAGTAAAAGATGCAACAGAGGACAGGCAATTTT